TTCATGCATGCTCTGTGAATTACAGAAGTGCTGTAGCTGCCCTAGAAATACTTATCAGCCTTACTTCTGGATTCTTGCAGTTTTTAAAATTACTGTAATAGGAAAGTTTTTGTTTACTTCTATGATACACTGAAACCATTTTTTTGTAAAGAACAGAACTCAATCTTTATACATCTGCTCTGAGTACAACATTTATATTTCACTCTGAATCTAAATTTTTATTTGGGGAAGTAATATGGGTGAAGTACATTAGAAAATTCATAGAAGATTATCAATGAAAGAACATCCACTGGTACATTTTTCTGAAAAGTAGTATGATGAGCTAAAAAGGAGTTGATAATGTTCAGTGTAAGAAGCAGATCAAAGAGCTTTCTAAATCGCATAATAGCTTCTTTATCTGTGAATGACACTGACTATTAGTGGAGCTTTTCCTTTCCAGACTCAGTTTTGTAGTGTCAAAACTCTGCTTTGAACTCAGTGTACATGTTGACTTACCTGTTTGTACTCCAAGTGTGATCTAGAAAATGGATTTAGGATCACTAAAATAAAGGCCAAGCCGTTTGAAACTGAATTTGTAGAGTATATGATCGTTACAAATTCAGGCAGAATTGGCAATCATGTGAATATGCATAACATTTATTGCTTGATTGGTTGGCCAGTAAGTTGGGAGATACTTCAGGACAAAAATTGCAAATATTTTCAGATCTATGAGTTTTTTGTTTCTTAGTTACTATTTACTGTACTTTTAACCCAAATGAAACTGTTCTCTCATCTGTGTCCTTCTTCAACAGCTTTGATATTTTTCTTTCCTCTCTCGTTTTTTTTGAATTGTTGGATTTTAAGAGGAAGGTTTAAGAATGGTATCATTAACAGTAAAATATGGGTCCCGGTTTCTGATGATCTAGATTCCTTTGGTCTGTGTTGTGCTGAGACCTCATTCTGATATTGGGTGTGCCACACATCCAGTATCTCTGAGCTGGACTTTGGCGATCTGTGTGGGAGTGACTGTCCCAGTCATCTGCTGAAGGTGCCTGGCAGAATTAAATTTATATTCCCTCTTCAAATTCTGCAGCTCTGAGCTTTGCATATCAATTTAAACAAAATCAAATTAATTTTGTTTCTACACCAGACTGGGAAGTGCAGTGAGTGGAGAGGTAGCACGTTTGTTCTTTCTGCAGGTGTTGTAGAGAAGGAAAGGCAAGATGGTCCTTGGTAATCTATCACAGAAGAGGGGTGGATCTCTGGGGCTGGTGGTTTCTTAAGTAAGCATGATAGGAAAGAGAAGAGCGTATATCTTGGATCTCTATATGTGTCACTTCCACTAATTATTGGATAGAGATAATGCTCACCTGTCTTTTTAGGACATCAGATCCAAGGAGCACGTTACCTAATGTCATGTCAATGTAATTTTTTATTTCGTATCTGCACTGTAATGCACTTAAATGAACATTTAGTATGAATTGATATCATGTAAGAGGAGAGTTCCCTGTTTGCCTATTTTTTTTCATTTCTCTAGCAGTCTTTTTTAAATTGTATGTTATTCTGCAGTACCGTAGAAATAATACAATAGCTTGCTTCTGAGACTTGTGTTTTGTAGAGAAAGTCAGGGGTATCTATCTGATTTATACCCTTCTGGGGGCTTAAACCTCAATATGTAGCTACTGTTTCTGTTTGCTGGAGGGTAGTAGAGCCTATTGGTTGTCATCATGTTACAAAGTTATGTTGTGAGTGCTCTACTGGTTAACTCAACATAAGTATTGTAATGATCCCTTATGTGGTGAATGGAAAAGTATGTGCAAAGCCCATTTCTTAGGGTGTATTATTAACAGATTGCTTTAAATAGTATAGCTATTCAAACAGCCTCTTAACTGAAATATCAAATTGCATTGATTGTAGGAATTTCATACTGGGTTTTTGTATAAATGATGAAGGCTGAATAAAACCCTAGTATACTTCATGTATTTCAAAGTTCTTTCTTTAATTTTTTTATAAATGTAACTTTAAAAGGTCATTACTTAACTTTAAGTATCAGGCTATCTATGTACTTTTGTGCTTTCCAGTAATTACATTAGTATACTGGCATAATAGCTTCTATATTGTATTTACCTTAGTTTTAGTTGACAAGTCACCTGTAAAATACATTTTAACCTATCGCTGCAATTTGCACATAGATTTTTTTTTTTCTTTTCATCCTGTAGAATGAACATGGGTTTTATTATGCTGAGAATTAGAAATTGTTTCTTGAGTCTCATGGGTAATAGGTACATGTATATGTAGTGGGTCTGTTCCCTCATTCTTTTCCTATAATGCCCTTTGTGGTATTTTTCCTCTTTTAATTTTTTTTTTTCCCCCCCATTAAGCTTCATTTCAGTACAGATGGCTGGTAGATGCAGTTGTACCTTCTACTCTGAGAAAATGTATAAATAGTGGCTCTTATGTAGTTAATAAAAGTTGTCTTAACTGAAGGTTTCAAATAGAGAGATGCTTGAGGGAACCAGGTAGCTGTGCCAAAAATTGCATTTCACAGTCTAAAAGGCTGGGAGTTTAAATGCATTCATGAAGAAGCTATGATGACAGTAAATAATGATAAGGGTAGGTAGAAGGCAGGCCGGAAGTTACAATGATGGTTTCTGATTTGACAGTTATTTTGGCCACATGTATTTGTTTGTTTGTTGTTGGTGGGGTTGTTTAGGTTTTTTTTTTTGATACCTGTTTTGTCTAAAGACTTTCATTTATGTTTGCAAAGTGGCTGCATCACTATTGGTATTGGTTTTGTTCTCACTGTTCCTAGAAGTGAGGAATAATATCATGTGGTTGATAGTTTGCAGCTGTTTTATACCGGTGGATCTGAACAGTGATGTTGACACATACAGAGTTTTTTGGGTTTTTTTGTTGGAGAAGGAAGGAAGCATGGGTAGGGAGAAAGAAAACAGTTGTAGGAAGAAGTGAATAAAAAAGGCATGTGTTTGAGAGGGGAAAAGAAGACTAACAGGTGAAGAAAACAGAACACGAGCATACAACAGTCTGAGAAGGAGAGGTGAAGAAAAGAGGTAGGGGTTCATGGCTGAGCAGAATCAACCACCATATCAGTGGACAAAATAAATGGCAGAGGTTTCTCAGTTTAGGACTATCTGAGAATTGTTGCATCTGAGTTTAGGAGGATTTGGTGTTCCTAGAGCTCCATAAGATTTCTGAAAACAATATTTAGACTTGTTAACAGGGAATGCTTTCAGGTTTGGGTTTTTTTTAATCTGTTAAGCCTTTATTTCCCATGACTTCCAACAGTGATACAGAATTATGGGCGCTTTCTTGCATAAATTTGAAGTAAATATCCTGATTGGTCTATTGCACCTCCGGAGCAATGGAAAAAAAAAAAAAAAGCTTTACAGTGAATCTGAATGGAAGTTACTCACCATTTCTGCTGGTTAGCACTTATTCCCTTCAGCACTGTTAAAAGCATGTTAATGGACCGCAGCATAAATTAGAATCATACTCAGAAATAGCAGTTTCAGTACACACTGTTGCCATGGATGTATTGAGTTGTATTGAGTGAGTTACTAGTTACAGAACACTTGAGACATAATACAGGCAAGCATCAGCAATGTAGTTAGATTGTGATCTCAAATGTGGGAGTGAACTTTGCTACGTTTGATAAGACAACAATGTTTTATAATGTGTTAGTATCGTGTGTGTGTGTATATATATATAAAAATTTAATCTTGGCGTGGTATGAACAGAAAGGCCAATACAAAATGGGAATTAAAAGTTGCTTCCTTTGAGATAATTTCAGGTTGAAGGGAGTATGAAATAAAATTCATAGATCTCTAAATTTGTTCTCAGTGATGCATGGTAATCCAGTTCTATATAACACAGGATTTGAGAAATAGTAACTGTCAGCTCTCTGTCATGATGATATTTCTTAAAAATGTGCATGTGTGAGATCTTTAGAACGCTGTTATGTTACGTAGTTATCAAAGGAGCAGAAATGACCACAGCAGTGTTGGGAAGAGGATGTATCCATGTGTGTTGATAAAGGTAGCATTAGTCGCTGATTGACTGCTCTTCAGTAGAAAGTGACTGTAGACTTTCAGACTTTTTTCTGTACAGATTGTCCTTTCTCTAAAGAGCAGCTGAGTGCATAAATTGTGTCGCTTCTAGCAGCTTCTCTCCCCAGTGGGTACAACTCAGAATTGATGGGCTAGTAAATGGTAGCAAAGCGGTTTTTCCCTCTTTGCCCGTTGTCCTTTTCATCTGTCCCATTCTGGTTGCATGGCAATTCTGGCTTTTATTATCAGATACAGATTTTGCTCATGGCACCTGCAAGTATCAGCCCCTCGTGGGTTTTAAAAAAAGGACAGTTCTTTGGCAGTTGTAGGCATTTAATTAGTGAGTCGAGGGGACTTCAGTCAGTTTTTCCCTTATGTCCAAATCTAAGAAACACTGATCAGTATATTTAGGATTCATTCTTGTTTCTACCCTACATTAGAAAGAAGGATAACCTGTAAAGTATTAGAATACAGGATTAATGCACTCTGAGATATGTAGTGTGTGACTTTAAATAATTTTATTCTTCAAATCTGCTAAACATTAACTCCTAATAGTCAAACTTTTTTCTCAAATACAGAAGCATAAGGAGTCATCCCATAAGCCTGTTTATTCTCTACATTTTACTTTAGTTTGTATTCAAATAAATAACAGCTTCAGATCAGTATGTTAAATGTATTGATTGTTTTTTAAAAGCGCATTGTTACATTGATGACATTACCTGGAATCCATGCACAAATTAAGAAACATGATTTCATATTAAATTTGTGTTTAATACACAGATCATTTTTATTTTTTTTTGTGCTTTACAGTATTTTAAACTTGGGAGTTGTATGAAACAAAGTGTTATAAAACATTAGATTTCTAAAACACTAAATTTTGAAGTGAGCTCTATGAGCATATGAGTAAGCGCAGGAAAGGATTTTCTCTTTTTTTCCAAGTGTATTCCTCTGGAAAAACTTGCACTGAAGGCAGCAATGTGGTGTAAACCTCTCTATTTGATTTTCCAAAGAACCGGGTATGGATATTCTTCAAGGCAGTCATAAGTAGTTATACAAGAGGGACGCGTGGTTCCTGTCTCCAGGTGCTGAGGGCCCTGCCTCTGCAGTGTACTCGGGAAGTACGGACTTTTTGGCAAGGCTTTTTTTTGTGTCAAGAAAATAAATCAATTTCTTTCTCCTTCAAATAGTAAAAAGGGTAAGAAATGGAATTTATTTTCTACTGTAAACTGCTGGGTGTCCTTTTCAGTTGGGTTGCTTTCTCTTATTTACTGGAGGACAAAGGTTGATAATGCTGCTGTAATTTTTCTTGTCTCCCTGTTACTTTTGACTGTGATACTTTCTATAATGCTTCCTTGAAGTTGCTGCTCTTTTGACTGCCTTACTACTGCTCTGGCATGTGTGAATGTCTCCTTATGGAAACTTGGCTGGAGACAAAAGTGAAAGTAATAGCTTTAGAATGGCATGGTGAAAAGTCAAGGGAAAAGATGCAAATATTAGTGAGATAATTAGAGAGACATTATTCTGCTTTATGTGTTGTCCATCTCTATTTGCGCAGTTGATTGGAAAAAAATCATTGAAATAGTTTATCTTTTGTCAGCATTCATGGGTAGTGAGAGAGCTGCTACAAAGTGTTGTATCACACAGAAATGGTCTGCCATGCCTCAGTGTACTCCTGGGTTAATTTACATTGAGTAGTAGGAACATCAGCGGATTCTGGGAAATAAAACCAAAGGATACTTGGACATTTTGAGCTTTTGGTGAGGAAAAACACTAGCAGCGACTGTATCTTGTTTATATATTACATTTAATCTCTTGATGCTGTTTTTAATATTTCTTATTAAATGGATTTATGGTGAGTTTTAGTGGGATTTTCTAATCCTGAACTGTTTCTTAGACAAGGTGTTTTGTGAAAAATTCTGTTATTTGCTGAGTCTCTATTAATAAATCAGAATTTGAGAACAATATTTTTTTTTTCCTGGTTGCATTGCACAGGTGCTAGTTTAGTTTACTAACAGAACAATTCATGCTGAAGTGTTTACTTTGGGGCCTAATCTGAAGTCCTTGCCATTGCAGGCATTTTCGTGTGTGTGACACAGATACTGCTACTGCTGTGTCACAAACATTTTATAACACCCACCCTTTCTTTTATTTGGCACACACTAGGTAGAAAGAGCCCCATAGTTTGTCTTTGTACAGAATAAATAGCTATTCGACAGTCAATGTAGTGTTCAGGAAAAAAATAACGGCAATGGAGAATGAAGCTTGCTTTCATTCAGTTAGTACATACACTCTCCATATAGATTGCGGGTGCTGTTGTGACAGTGTATCCTGAGACAGGTCTGGATGACTGCCTTTGCAAGAGAAGCATTCCTGCATAGTATTTAGTCTTTCTACTTACAATAAATCTTAAAAAAAATAATACAAGCACATGTTCATGTGAAACTTGACTAAAAGTTGCTGATTCATTTGAGAGAGGCCAAGAAGGAACCATTATGAAGTGACAAAATTGTTAGGCACATGGTAAATTACCATTATTCCAAGCATTTAATCCCTTGAGTGAAGAACCCCCACCTTTTCTGCTTGTGAAGATTTAACTTTCACATGAACTGATCAGGTAAAATAATTCATATTTTATAACTGATGTATATCCTATTTCCCCTGTTGTTTAAGTACACTGCTGTCCTATTAATGTAACCCTCTGCTATAGTATTTCTTCTTGTAGTTTTTATTCTTGCAAAGTTGGGACCTGAATACATCCCCTGTCTGTAGTCTCTCAGAATCTCCCATCTGATAGTTCCAGAGTGTAGTCAAGCTGGGAAGTTAAGATACCAGCATTGAAATCTGGGTTTGGATTTAAGATTATGCCTCGTTCAACTAATCTAGCAATAATAAAGTGCCTTAAAATGGCTGCAAATGTATTCCTGCCTACTCAAAGACATCTTCTCACTGGTAGCACATTATAGAGGATCTGTAGTGTAGTTAAGAGTTGGATCCTTGCCAGTAGATGGAAGCATTTTTTAGCATCTCTTCATGCTTTGAGCTTTTTCTGCATTTTTTTAACATAGTATCAAAATTGCTTCTTTTTCAGTCTCTTTCCATTTATTATAAGCTATTCCAGTTTGTGCTAGTTCAGATTACTTCCATTTGATGTTGTAAACATTTTTTACATTCTTTTTTGTGGAAGATATTTCTAATTTTATATTTTTAGAGCTCTTCTTCTATTCTTCATTCTCTTTTTATTCTGGGCACGTCTCTGCTTGTCAAATTTCTCTTCAATTTCTGTTTTGCTTTTGCAGTAATTGGCAGTCACCCTCTTGGAGCTCCTGAGGGAAATCATACATGTAGGGTATAACCAAAGCAACACCTGAGTGATACCACTGTAGGGCAAGAGACAGAAGAGTTCAGCCAACCATCAGCAGAAGAGATAAGAAACTGTAAAATCCTCAAAGTAAGCGAACTGGAACAGCAGAGACACCAGGCCTCGTTCATTTGTAATGATCTTAGGTCTCAGTAGGCACATAATTTTTAGGTGGAAATGCATGTATTTTTCTCAGGTGTGATGGAACCCTTTTTTAGCAGTGCGTATGATTTGTGAAAACCTAATAATCACTAGGTTATACATGGTTGTGAATATTCTTGACTCTCCTTTGTAGTTATTCTTTTTTTCTTTGATTTTTATTTTAATATAGTTCTCTTACATTAACTTCTTATTGGAAAAGAATTTGACTCTGTTGTCAACTTGTTACTTTTTTAGGAAGTCGAAACCTTATAATTTACTTCTTTTTAATCGCTTTTTGTTTAAATATATTACGTTCATATCTGTAAGCATGCTTTGATTTTTGCATTGATCTTTGTAAGGGGAAATGGCTGCCAAGAGTAAATGTTTAATTCTAAACAAAAAGCTTTAGGACCTCCAGGTAATACCTCTTCAAAGCTTTCTTTGGAGACTGGTAGCGATTGATTGGATCTGTGTTCTTCTCTGTTGAATGGTTACAGACAAAAAAGTTATTACCTGGGAAGAATGGAATAAGGAAAGTGTATCAGAATAAAAAACAATGAATAATAAAGCTGTACTGTTGCCCTGAATATCACTTGCCTAGAAGGCTTGTTGGCTTAGAGCACTGGTAACAGCACAGCACGTTTCAGCTGTAGGTTGCTAGGTCTGATCCATTTCTGATAGGTAAAGATTGAACTTTGTGGTTAATATATGACCAACTGGTTTATGCGAAACGTGTTTGATGTTCATGATGTAGTTGACAGGCCTTGTCGTAAATCAAAGAATTGTCATTAATTGATCCATTCTTCAAAGGGGTCATGAAAACTGAATCATTTTCCTCTACCTACAGGCCAGGAGGGGACACGGTGGTTGTACGCATGACCTTGCACCGCTGTCACCTGTACTTCACATCTCTTTGAAAAGCTTATTATCATTCTGAAGCCTCTCAGTGAAATTAAATTTCCCTCACATCCATTTTTGCTGCATATGAAACCTATCTGAAGAACTTTATAATACAATAATTTCTACTGTTTCCCATATATCCAAAATTCATCTTAGCTTAGAGACGCAGAAATATACATGGCATCAGAAATTTTACTTGCCTACAGGAACAGTTGTGTTGGCATACAAAGCTAAGGGGTATTATTCTGAGTTTGGAAACAGTACTACTAAGGGTGCTATTGTTCAGTTCATTAGTTTCCTGGAATTATTACTCTAGTTTATTTCTGAAAAGAATAATAAACAACCCTGAGAAAATTGTAGTATAACATTGAATATCGCTTTCATGTGCGGAGAACTGAGGATTTTTAGGTCTGTTCATTTTGCTGGAGTTTTAAGATTTTTTTTCTAACATATTCTGCTGCTACATCAGAGCACTAATAAATATTTCAACTATCTAACAGGTCAAATACCAGTACCAGCAAACATTAAAACATGAATTTAACTTATCTCACTCCTTGTTCTTGTTGGACTGTTTGTCATAAACTAGTCGCTTTTTTTTTGCTTATCACTGTGTTGAATTTTTGAGCTATGTTGACTGTTAGGATGCAGCCTGTGAAAATGAGCACCTGGCCTATAGAAATGCTGTAGTTAGGAGAACAAGACAGTTTCTTCTGAAGACTTTTTCTTTTTCTTTTTTTTTTTTGCTTGAGTCCTCCTTGCTGTTGAAGGTTGGTGCCATTGTGGGTTTTGAGTAAAGCATTTAGGAAATAGAGGGAGCCTAAGATTGTAGGGGGAAAAATTTTAAGACAAAACCAGTTGTTTAGCTGTAACAGAATGAGTGGGAAGCTAATGAATACAGTTTACAGAATTCAGAGGGCTGTGAATTTTTGTTAAGTATCAAGGCTACTAGCTCTTTATTTTTGGAAGGCCTATTGTAGTGTAATATAATTAACTTCAGAGGCTAGTTTTATAAATGAGGCGTTACAGTCAAGGTCATTGGGAATACAAGGACAGTTGGAGTTGTTGCCTCACTCTGTGGGTTTACAGTTAAATGAAGAATAATAGTAGGTAGGTAGCAATGTGGTTTTTATTAGCATCTTTTTTCACCAGAATATTGGAATCCTATAGTGGAACAGTGCATAGATGCCTGAATTTCAAGCTGCAAGTCTACTCCAAATCATTTGAAGGCTTGCAGCATTTGCCAAATGTGCCTGTACTAGCTGCAGTCATGTGCTGAAAAAACATGGTTTGTGGCAGAATTACCAATCATAAAATACATGTTTATATTTTCTTTCTAGGATCAAGTAGAACACACTGATTCAGCAGAACTGGCTGGTTGTGCTGCAGTCATCATGAGTAGGCACAGGGTCATTCGTTTCTTAACATATGTATAAGAGAAAAAGGTAAGAGGCAAGTCCTGCTTTAGAATGTAATGATTCAGGGGTTGTACTTGAAATGCATGTATTTTTATGTATGCTTATGTATATATATTTATATACATGCACCTCTATATGTGGATATATATCTTATATAGAAGATGATGGAGTATTTTTAGCATTCTGTTGTTTTGGTTTTTATTGAGAGTAATTGCCTTGTTTCAGAGCAAAGATGTGTCTTATTTTGTTTGGGGGAGGGGGAACTGGGCAGAGTCTTTCTCAGTCTGTGCTGTAGGCGATCTCATCAGTTAAAAATACAGCGATTGCTGAACTCTGAACAAGCTGTTCATTACAGCAAAGGTGCTTCTTCCTCCCAGGGGCAAATAATACAGGGAGATGGAACAGTATGTGGACTTTACCATTGTTTCTTGGGGTTGAAGTAAGTCCTCAGGAGCACTAGATCTAATAAATTAATTTGTCCAGTTGATATGTAATTCCATATTGTCATGCTATGGGAAAATAACATTTTTCTGGATGTTGGATTTTTATCAGGATGAATAAGCAATGTTTGGTTTCAGTTTGATCATGCCCCTTGTGACTTTCATCTTGGCACTCTTTCATATATATTTTTGGTGAGGATTATAAGAAACTATTTGAGTATTTTGTTTAATAAGAGTTTACTGAAATGTGTATGTTCACAGTTTCATATTGAAAGAGTAGTCTACCCAGGACAGCATGATAGAAAGCCCTGAGAGTCTGGTTCTTTACATACTCTCTGATTTTTAGGCCATTTCTATGCGATAATAGTAGTTGTATGTTGGTATTATTTCCTTTTGGTGCATTTTTTATTGTAGTGTTTTAATGTGATTGTGTGCTGGTCATCCACTGTCAGGAAAATTTGAAAGACTTAAGGCTGTTAGTTCCAGCAGTGAAAAAATCTCGAGGGTAATTTAGGGTGTGCAGTGCAGAAGATTGCGGGTTACATAATTCCTTATCATAGAGACCAAAACAAATACCAGCCCTGCCATGTTACAGGTACAACACAAGGCCTATCTCTTTGTACAGTTCATTTCCCAGGAAGAAGCTGACATGGGATATCAGAGCTGTCTTGAGAGGCAGTCTCCAAGGTTAAGCCTGTTCAGAATACTGTCTGATTTTAAGGTTTTTCTCTCCTTTACTTCTGTCTCCTTTCCTCCCCACTAATCAATTAAAGTTTGTCTTATGCCTAAATGCTGTGATGACTAGGATAGTAGTTGATACATGTGACAGACATTCTAGTACACGCACCTTTATATTTAGATATTAGAGGAGAGTAGAGCATGTAAACTTGAAAAGTTCTTAAGTTTTAGAGATGAAAATGATGATAAATCCATGCTGTTGTATGACGAAGTTGCTAAGTAAAAGACAGAGTTTCTGAATTATGCATGATCTATGATCCAGTGGGAGCTTGAAAATAATCCATTTGATAGGCTGCATTCTGGGTATTGCATTGACTTGCAATGGCTAACAAGTGATCTTGGGTTCTGGGCTTAGTGAACCAGTACAGGATAGCCATGGTATTCTTTTTTTTTTTTTTTGGATACAGAATTTAAAAAAATAATTTGCTTTTTTTTTTTTTTTTCATATAATTCTTCTTTTCTGTGAAATATTTTCATGAAGGACTCTATTTTTGAAAAACCATCTTATGCTTTTCACCATATTGGTGATTTTTGTTTCCTTTTCCTTGCACTGGCACAATATCCTCTTCTGCATATTGTTCATCCCAGTATATACTAATTAGGAAGTGTCTCCTTTTTGGCAGCATACAGCTGAAATTGCCATTGAAATTTCTTCCTGATTTGCTCATGTTTTTATTCTCACTGTTCCAGAGTTGTGTGTTAGCTCATCAGCTTCTCTCCATGATATGGCTTCGAATAGTTGAGCAATACTAAAGAGTTTCACAACTATCAAGGACCCTTTAAGAATGTCATTTCTACCTTTATGCTAAGAGGAAGTTTGGGGCTAGAATAATCCTAAAACTGCTCTAAACTTTTATAGTGGTACCTGTGAGTTACAATCAAAGTTTCCAAAGACCTGTAAAGGAATGTTTCTTTTTATTTATGTTGGATATTTCATAAAAATAATTAAAATAAAATTAAATTCTAAACCACAAGGAAAACAGCTACCTGATTATCATAGCATGCTGTGTCAGAGAATTTTGCGTTTTCTGTTTTGATTCTGTTTTTTGAGATGCTGGATATGTAGAGTTGAAGTATTAGATCTCAAACTGGCAAAAACATAATTTGCTGACAATGTATTGGTCAAGAAGCATTGCGGGTATCCGGTAGGAACATGAGTACTCCTCCTTCTTTTCTGTCAGGAAGAGGACAGTAAGGACTTTTGTGGGTTTGGCAGTGTGTATTGCCCTTGGACAGAAGCTTCTGGAAAAGCTTGAGGGGGTTGTTGTGTTCTTTTACACAATAATAATTATTTTAATATTAGACCTGAAGATTTGCAGCTGACCTTTTCTGAGAAAAATCTACTTGCATAGACAATGAGATCTCATTTAGAGTGGCTGTCAGCTTAGTGATTGTGAGTTTAAAAATAAAAGATTATCCATATATCCTGGTACATCAGTAAGTGGAATAACAATATGATATAAAAGGTCTTTTTTCACTTTGATTTGGAGTATGAATATCAGTCTGGATTTTGGCTCATTGCATGTTTGTGCACCAGTATTTGAACTTCAGAATTCATATGATTATGTGTATTTGTTTACACATAGTTCTCTCTACTCAGAATTTTTTAAAATATAGAAAAAATCCTTCTGTCATATTGGACCAAATTTAAACTCGCAATTATTAGATATTTAATGTTAGGTAATACAAATGCTAATAAAATAATAATTTCAGAGAGATGAAGTATTAACCACACGGGGATTGTAAGGGAGTGGGAGCAAAATTTTAAATCATTGTCTTCATATGCCCTTTTTATTGTTAAACATTTTTTAAGCCTGAATAGTCATATTCTTCTAATGTTACAAGATGACTTATATAAACAATATAAAATTTAAAAGCTAAACACTGACTAAAGTCAGTAAAAACAATTATATTTATTATGAACTTCTAACATTGCTCTCTTTGGTTAAGCATATCTTGTATCTGATTTGCATGACAAAACCCAGCTAATATAGGACTAAATTTAGGAAATTTTAGGGGTAGATGTGGTTTATATTGTACTTACTACAATGTGCATAAATTTAAGTTAGTTCTTAAGTTCAGTTGGGTGTTGAAGTTATACGAATGGTCAGATCTGAATTTTTCTAAACATTTGAAACTTACACAGAATTAAAATGCACTTGTCCAAAGAGTTACTTAAAAACGTGTTCAGTAACTATATAAACAGCATAGCATTTCCTTCCCCATCAACTTGCCTGTCAGTAGTCATTATCTTCTCTAAAATAAACAAAACAAACAGAAAAATCAATGCTTGTAGTCTGTTTCTTTGGGGTCACCTATATTGCAGAGTTTGTGTTTATGTCCTAGCGAATGCCTTGACTGGATACCCTTTTTCACTATGAGAGCACATGGAAATCTGAACGTGGTGCCTTCAGACATCATCACAGTTTAACTCTTGAACACAAAAATTTTGTATGATGCTTTTCAGTCTTGCAGTGCTTCATTGACAACCACTCTTTGCATCATTGACCTTAGTAGTAGGACTTTGCCTAGCAATAATTATTCACATCTTCATCAATTGTTTGCTAGACTAGAATATTATTATTATAATGCAAATTAAATACATTATAAATGGATGTGAAATTATGTGGTATTTTGTACAAAATAGTCTTACTATAGTGAGTTAATGTTGGTTGATGTTTAGAACTCTGAATGGAAAAAAAAAATCAAGCAAAATATTCATTGGGACAGATATGAATTAACTTTTCAGTAGTTGATGTTTACTGAACTGGTAAATATGCTTTCTGTTAGAGTTGAAATGAGGTGGAGAGAAAGGTTCCAGAGAACCTCCAAACTCTTACAGTTTGGATGTAGTTTGAGTGAATTTAGTGTTTGTATGTCTAAGGAGAAGCAACTGCTTTTTAAAATTATGTTGGTTTAATTGAAATATGTGTAGTAAACCTAATTGTTTCAGTTAAAATGGTATGCAAAATTTTTAATACAGTGACTTGATGGGCAGATTGGATAACTCGGGAAGATCTTACAGTAGGTATCTAAGGGATCAAGTACACTCTGATACAGATGGGGGTCAGAACCTGGCTTTTGGTAAAGAATCTAAAGTGTTGACTTCTGAAATGCAACCTTTGATCAAGACGGCCAGCTTCTCCACTGCATATGTTATAATCTGTGTTTAGTAAATGATATGGCCAGTCATCTATTTTCCTTGCAAAAGGAGTTTGTTTAAAATTCCAGAACAGAGGACAAAGCTGGGAGTTTGTAAGGTGACAAGTCAAGTTTATCTCTGAATTTCTTTGTAAAATAGTCTTTTTTTGGGTGATGCTTATTGCAGTTTTTAAGTTGTCATTACATTAATTTTCTTTAAAATTGGCTTTTGTATAAATTTTTAAAACATGATTTAATCTGATTATATTAAACAGCAGTGTATTTATGTTGTAACATGATCATCTTTTAAAAACAGCATGTGTCAAATTTAAGGTCAACCTTAAGAACTTGAACTCTGTATTTTGTAATATTTTAATACATGATCTTTTTGTACCAGTAACCTTATCGTAGCTGTTGCCTGCAATAAATACAAAACTGTATTTAATGCTATAGTAATTGAAATAAAACTGGCTGATATTTTCCTCAACTCTAGATACTATGGGGGTAATGTTAAAGTAAAGTATAGTTTTAAACTGGAAACTTCTCTGACATGTTTGTGTCTGTTGTATCTCTAGTGTAAAAGAGCAGGTTTTTAATTGAGCTGGAGTCTAGCTGTCAGGTCTAACACTGTTTCTTCTTGCAAAACAAGGTTCTCACCCTCTCCTCCTCCATTTCCTTAATTCGCAACATTGAAAGACAACTCTGAAGAGAATAAGGCTGTTTTGGATGATGTTCAGAGAACAGATCAAATCGAGGTCTCTCTTTATGGTATATAGGTTATGGCACACATTTCTCAGTAAAAATGTCTTTGCTGGTAGTGAATGTTTTTAAAAAATGAATCATGGTGTCTTGTTGCTACAAGCCTTTGGTAGCAAGAAGACCATATTCCTACTGTTAGGGTGAAAATGTTATTTATTATGTGAAGTTGACTTAGGGTTGGTTTGGTTTGGGTTTTTTTTTTCTTTGCACCCTTGTCATCTTCATGTCTAGCCTGAGAGTATTATCTTTTGATGAGGCTATTTAGTTCTGTGCATGTTGCTAGATTTCCAGTGCCTGCCTTTCAGGGAAACAAGGATTATTAAAGCAGGCATTTTACAAGCTAGCACAATTCAAGTATCGCCCATTAAGTTCTTTAACAACTTTTACAAGTATGAATTTTTGAAGCATCTCTGGAAAATGAAGAGTGACACAGCATACTGCTAGCCTAGTATACCTAAAAAGTCATAAGGATAGTGAGTTTAAACTACTTGTTCAAAGCCACATGAGCTTATTGGTGGTAGCATGGAACTGAAAGTCGGATCTTCAGTTTGTTGGTTGGCTGGCTGATTCTCTAGACTGTTGTTTTCTGACTGGTGTTGGAGCAGTTTTGCTCTTACCATTATGGTGATCCTGATGGTTAGACATTTTAATGTGAGAGACTGGAGGTAATAAAATCCAAGGCCAGTTTGGGGAGGTTGTTAATCTGAATTAAGCAAGTTTAAGCACACAGATAATTTTTATTCTTGGAAAATACTTTTTATTTATGCATGATTTGCATTTATTTGTTTTTGATCAAATAAATTTGATTTACAAAGGACTTCTTTCCCCTTAAATCATGACAATACGTAGTGGAACACTGCTGACTGAAGATTAAATATCTGATTGTAATTTGTTCTCTGGCAGGTTCAGACAAGAATCTGGTGGTCTTTCCCTGACAAATGGAGAACTATTTCCAAGCAGAGGCATATAACCTCGATAAGGTTTTAGATGAATTTGAGCAAAACGAAGGTGAGTCATATTGAACAAGATCGTAGTTGTACATTAGATGTATTTTACAGAGAGCACCTGAAGAGGGAGAGATGTTTGATTCCCTTTTTGGTTTTGAGTTGCAAATTAATCTCAGAACCTGCAAGAAAAATCTGTCTTCAATATTTTTTAGTAGTATTATGTTCTGTTTCCATGCATCTTGTTTACTTTTCTAAAATTTCTCACTCTTTTAATATCAAAGCTTCCATACACTTTTTGAAGAAAGGTTTTGTGAAGCTTAATCTCAGTGGCAATATTTTAATTGTTTATTTTAAACAAATCAGGCAAAATTTATTTTAAGCTGCTTTTGCAGTTTTGGGAGAGTCAAGTGTAGAAATGTTTTATTAGGTCACATAAATCTTATAATGGAAAGTAATATTTGAAGTATTAAATTTTTTGCTTAGTCTAATTGCTACTTCTGTGCTGTCAAGGAAGTTGAACATTTTATGGGAGTGGGAATCTTTCTAGGCATTTCTAGCTGTCTGAAGTATATTAATTGATAGTTTAAAGCTGCTTGTGCAAATTCAACCTGATACTAATTGGTATAGCTCTAAACTTCTTGAGTTCCAGAAACATTATGCAATTACACTACTAATGGTTGATCAAGGATGTTAGTTATGGCAGATGTGTTGTACTGTTGTGCCCATACTTGAACATCTCTACATTTATATTTGGGGCATTCTAATGCAACAGCGTTAATAGAACCTAGAGCTTTAATAGGACAGTAAGTTCTCTTATTTAAACACTTTTTCAGATGCCGCTGTTTCACCTACACTATTGGGTGCAAAGTGGAATCAGATTCTAGATCCGCCTTCTCGTCATCTGTCATTTAACCCGACCGTGGCCAATGTGAATGAAGCTACAACTCCTAATGAATGTCAACAGAGATTAAAGTCTTTTTCCTTGTCTCATTCAGTGACTACACCAACAGGAGGAGGGGATCACTGTGCTAATGGAAAGGATTTTAGCATAAGCCCAGAGACCCCAGTCATGTGGATTGATGATCAGGCAGCAGCTGACGATCAATTAATTAAAAGAAATAGTAATCGGGATGATCAGTATAACACTGTGGAAACAGGAGAAAAGAAATGTGGAAATATAGCTTGCTTGCCAGAGGAGAAAAATGTACTAGTGGTGGCCGTCATGCATAACTGTGACAGAAGAACACTACAAAGTGGCGATTTGCTGGATTGTAAAAATTACAACAGTCAGTCCCTAATGGACACTATTAGCTTTACACTGGATAATGAAAACCGACAGAGTGATCAGTTTAGTGTTACTGTAAATGGATCCACAGAAAAAGATATAGATACAGAAAAGCAAGTAAATAGGATGCGCACTGAAGATGACTCTATAAATCATTTGATTAATGCTTCATCTGAAAGCCTGACTGTTGCATGCCCCTCCACTCGATTAAAGGATGATTTTAATATGAGTAAGGATTCACTGTTTTCAGAAGCTACAACTGCAGGGATTAATGCAGTGACTCGCTTACAGAGACCAGTTGATGGTACTGATAAAATGCAAGAAAACTGTGTATCAGTTGAAAATTTTACTAGTAAAGCCATTTCTCAGAGAACAGATCTAGAAGCTAAAAACTCTTCTGGTTCAAGTAATGGAAGCTTAATCATAGAACAGGAAACAACCCAACAGTTACAGTCTAGGCTATCTGGGCTCACTGAAACTTGTCAACTGAACGTGGCTGGAAGTGGCAATTACAAGGAACGTGTTGCAGAACATTTTGCCCCTGAAGACATTAGTGCCACTGAAAGCGAAGTCATTGAATGTGATAAAAATCTTGGCACAACGGAATTGCTCAGCATGGCAGAATGTTACCCTGAATCTCAGGAGATGACTAATTGGGAACTGACAAAGTTGAATGAGATGAATAATAAGCAAACTCTGGGAGAGAATGAAAGACTTCTGCAGATGAAACAGCCTGATGAGGCATGTAGTAATAGTAAAGAAGGTGGAGATGGGGTGATGGAGGCAGGCATAGACTTAAAAGGGACTGGTATAGATGAGCTTGAAGGGTCCAGTCTCTCTGATGTGATGGCTACATCAGCAGCAAGCTCGCTGTCTAATGGTTGTGATTCCTATGGAATGCAGAACCCAGTTGTTGCTCATGTTCCAAAGACTTTACCCTCCAAGGAAGACTCAGTAACAGAGGAAAAGGAGATAGAGGAGAGCAAGTCAGAATGTTACACTAATGTTTATGAACAGAGAGGAAATGAGACCACAGAAGGGAGCGGTCTTATTTTAAACAGCACTGGTGACCACATAAAGAAAAATTATTTACATAATCTTTGTAGTCAGGTTTCATCCATGCAAGGGCAAACTTCACCAAAACCAGTGACTAATCTGCAATCTATCAGTGTTCCTTTTGGTGGTGCAAGACCTAAACAACCTACAAATCTTAAACTGCAGATTCCGAAGCCATTATCGGACCACTTACAAAATGATCTTGTTCCCCCAAATTGTGGAGGTAATAGTAAAAACAAAAATGTCTTTGGTAAGACACAGTTAGGGGATACAGCAGATGCATTTCCTGGTGAAACATCTTCCAATGCCTCTGTTACTGATACTAATGGGGAACATTTGGAAGAGTATGAATCTGGAGTCTCTAGTAGTCCGTGCCTTGCAGTAGCCCCAGATAGTCCAGATAATGATCTCAGAGCTGGTCAGTTTGGAGCTCCAGCCAGAAAGCCTTTTACGACTTTGGGTGAGGTGGCTCCAGTTTGGGTTCCAGATTCTCAAGCACCAAACTGTATGAAATGCGAGGCCAGATTTACATTCACCAAAAGAAGGCATCATTGCAGAGCTTGTGGGAAGGTAAGTTCGCATTTTGTGAGTAAGCTCAAAGCACCCTTTTTTTTCTGGTACAGCACAAAATCGAATCAGAGGACTTCCTAAGCCACTGGCTATAGTTACTTGTGACGTTTCTTCCGAAAAAGCCATGTTTGATCTGTGAAGGAAAAAAAGGAGTTTCCAAGCTCTAACCTATTTAGGGTTCTAATAGAGAGTAACTATTTGTTATTTATAACTGAAAGAATTATTAGCCTGTGTGAGCACTGTATTTGTCAATTACAACAAACGCCACCATTGGATTCGTGTCGAACTCCTATAAAATGCCTAAGTGCAGGACACTAGTTTGTAGAAATTACAGCATCAATAACCCCGTTAAAGATACTGAAGCATATTGATATGAATTGGAAGTCTGCTCTTGAATTGCTAGCATTCCTGCCCGTTTAGATCGCTGATCAACTCTGTTCTTTTAAGTCTTCTTTACTAACTTTTCTCATATTGCTTACATTATTTTAAAGAACATGCATTTTCTCCTGGGGATAAAACAGTAAATTGTCTGTAACCTGATGTATGTACACATGGTGAGAAATTTTGTAATGAAGGCCACTAAAACATGATTTCTGTATCATTTTGTGTTGTGTAAGAAATACTTTATTGTTAACTTTTTTTTGGAGTTTTATATATGTGCCTTCTAGGTCCACGTAAATTCTTACATGGCAAGTTTATGGTAAATTATTAGCTTGTAAAGTATTTTCGAATATCTTGTTACTGAAATACCAGTCAGTGGCACATGGGAAGTAGGAACTTAAGAATAAAATACGATTATTCAAAGGCACTAAACTAACACTCTTGTCAAGTAGATACTGATGAATATTTTTAAGATGAAAAGAAATACTAAACCACACTGAAAACTAGAGAAAAAGTAACTGGTTCATTTAGGTCCTATCCAGAGGTTTCCAAGTGGGTTGAAAGACCTCTTGGCTGCTATGGGTGGTATCTTTTGCTGCCAGAAGAGTGCAGGGAAGCAGAATGACCTGAACAAAGGACCTAATAGAAGCAAATATTTCTGGAAAGCTCAAACCCTTATGCCATCTGTTTCTGGAAGCAGCCTAGCAGAAAACCCAGGCTTGCACCTCTGTAATGGACTACATATGTGTCCCATTTGTCCCTTTAGTAACCAAAATGCACAGCACTCAGTCTCTTCACTGCAACACCAGATGAGTAGATTTTATTCAAATTTGATTTTGAGACATGCTGAAAAATCTTTCCCAGGACACTTTTAAAAGCTAAGCAGACGTTCATTGTGTACCGGTCCAGGACTTGCAGTTGCTTGCTGCTGCACATCCTCTTGCAGGTTGGTTGCAGTGGAAATCCAGATGGGGAGTTAATAACCACAGGTGATCAGTAAGTGTCATACGAGGTACATGCCTACCTTTTGTGTACCTTTTGGTTAGTATCAGAGGACTCAATCTTTTTCTCGTTGTACTTAAGGAGAATCTGTAAAGCATATAAGTTAAAGGAATGCCCCTCATTTTAGCTTTAATATATTAACTTAGACTGTCAGTTATTTAGGTAATTCTTCTGTTTTTTATGACTTTAACAAATATGACTACAATTTTCACTTACAGTAATGTTTTCTATTTGTGTTTTAAACAAGTTCATTGCTTAGATTTAATTACTTCCCTGTAATGACTGAGGCCCTGAATTGCACAATTAAGAAGCAGAAAATGAAAATATCTGTAAACAAAATGGATAAAACATGCACAGATAGAGCAAGGCCAAAAATGTAGTGTGGTTTGTTTTTTTTTTCCTGTTAACTACTGAAGACAAGCCTTGAGAAGAACAACCAGCATTGTTTTGGATGATATGTAGGGAATGGCTAAAATAAAAGGTCCCTCTGCTCTGTAGACAAACTTATTTCTCAGATATGAAAAATACATCACACACTAGTATTTAATATTCTCAGAGTGTTTGAATAATCCTCACAATGGCTTGTTTCTAGAAGCTTTTGTTAGCTAATGTTGCCTGGGCCAAATTTGCACATGTGCAGCTGGAAGATGTGGCAGAAGATGCTGCTATTTCATGCCTTCTTATGTTATTTTCTTTAGAAAAAAGCGCTCATTAGTAAAAGCTAAGAATCAGTATAGGTCAAATACTTAGCTCTTACTGCAAATTGCTTTACAACACTTAATTCCTGTATGATTCCAGGAGGAAAGAGAGGAAAGGCTTTGACGGGCAAGCTCTGTGGTGGCTTGAGAGCGCTATTCTCAGCTGTGTGCTCTTGCTTTCTGGGTAAGATAACCATCCCCAAAGCAAGTCCTGCTTACCATGTGCCTGTGGTTTAGGTAACTACTGAATCACAGTGATGCTCCCACTGTTTCTATTAAATGTATGAATCCATTTAAAGAATTGGGGAGATGGTGTCTTCAGCTCTTGCAGTTAATTGTTTCAGGGGAAGTCATAGGACTAAATATTTTTGAACACAAGCTTTAGCATAATAGTTTCTTTTTAAGCTTTATTAGGATCATGACAAATCACTGTAGTAGGGATAAATGTGTCTGTTTCAGTTGAGTGGCACCTGGGAAGTCTGTCTCAGTTTTTAATTTCAGGATAATAATTGCAAAATTAATGGAAGATATGAACCTCAGGGGAATGGTAGAAAGTAATACACTTACAGTAAATTTTGAATTAAAATTAAGAGCCTGAAGAATGTGTATGAACACATTCATAAATTTTACTTTATGCATTTTCTGTTGTCAGATAAAACAATCATCCTTGATAGGAAAAACAGAAAATTTGTATGTCATCTTTTTACTGACAGCCAAAACAATATTTTTCCACTAAAATATTAAAAAAAAAAAATCACCAGCCCCCCTAGCAACTAATGCTTTAGCAACTCCCAGTGTACCTGAAAACCCTAATAATGTGAAAGCTTGCTTTGACACTGTATGTTACTTTTTTTGTAGCATGATATACTGAGATAATGACTTGGTGGTTGTTAATAACAAGACTCCATTGTCAGCTCTGCTAGATTTATTCTTCCTCTGCCTTACTACTGTTAGAAGGCTGATGTAGCCTAAGAGGGGAGGTGTAGAAGTTCTGTCACTGCTTCTATTCTATCTTTTAATATTTAGATCATTGCAATTGGGAGCTTTGTGGAATGTATGTGTTGTTTTGATAAAGAGTCCTAAATTAGATATTAATTTGTGTTGGTCCTTCATTTATGGTTGAAGACATTGATTTTTCCATGTTCAATACTGAACTTTCGACTGGAAGTTTCTCCCGGAGAACCGAAATGATGTTGAAGTCTCTAAAATGTGCTGTGATGTTGTTATCAATATTCCTAGAATGCTTGTGAATTGGATTAAGGTGTAAATGCAGAAATCAGACTTTTAAAGTACATTTGCCTTTTTTTTAAAAAAAAATAATTTCGCATATGCAAAAGGGTTGGTTTTATTTTTGCATGACAATGTCAGTATATACATGCTTATATTTTGTTTCTGAAATATTTAAATTGACTTAAATAGGAAACATTAAAACTGGTTGAAATGAGAAAGGGTGAGCTCTTCCTTCTTCACATTTGATTTTCAGCTCTCAGAGTGAACTCAGAGCTTATTTATATGTGCTTGTTTTAAACATTTGCTACTAAAAGGCTGAAAAGTGGTTTTAATTTTGTGTGATCTTTAACTTGGTTGAAGTTTAGTTAGGCTTACATATATATGAGAATCCTATTCATTTTGTTGTCTGTATTACAGAAATACTGCTGTTGAAGTGATGATGCAATAATTTTTTTGGATTAAGACAGCATTACAGATCATAATAACGCTTAGTGAATTGTAGATATAATATCCACTTATAATTAAAATTCTAAGTTCTCTTTTGGTATTTGAACTCATTTGTTAGGTTGCCACTGCTGTTTCTAGATTTCCTGAGTGTGACGTTACCTTTCTGTATGAAATGGATGTTCAGCATCTTCATGTCACCTGAAACAGTAACCCTGAGGAAATACTGGTTTTTTTTAAATAAATAAAATATTATTATTTAAAACAAATAAGAAATCATTAGGGCACCCTGATTTGTCTGTTCTGCAGGATTTTGAGATTGCAGTTGCTATTGTAGGATCATATCTGCATGCAAGTGTTTGTTTTGGTGCACAAGCCATGCTCGTGTTTTATGGTTTTGCTTGTCTGGAGGAAGCCTCAAGACTGTTTCCTGCCCAGGACTGGGGAATTGTTAGAGCTGGTTCAGGTGAGAAGCGTTAGCAGTGCAACTGCATCTCCGCAGCAGGTTGTCCTCCCGGGAATTTTGCACCGGGTGCCCCCTTAGCAGCCAGTATGCGAAAAATGCAGTTCCTGATTTCTCTCCAGTGTTGTGATGCTGTAGTGTTTGTAATCATGTAAATATGAACTTCCTTTTTTTTTTTTTTATATGCATATAAATGGAACAAGATTTCCTTGCCATACCAATGTCATTCAGCTTTTTTAAATGTCTTGTTTTATGTGTTGAACACTTAAAACTTTTTGATACATCACTGTTCACCTAAGTCTCAACTGAGGAATAGCTTGTTGTATATGAAGAGATTAAATAGCTAGAGATGCTAATATAGATAAATTGCCCTACTGCAAATAAAAAATGACCCTTTTGAATTAATCTGTGCCATAGCAATCTCTTATCTAGAGAAAACTTGTGCATTTAGATATAGTTGATTCTAGAGTACTCATGCTTTTTCTAAGACTGAAATTAATTGCCAAATTGTTAATTCTGTGAGGGATTGTAAAATGCTAGGAAATATTAACCCATTGTCATTTATGCCAAACATATTTTAAAACACCCCGGTGCAGTATCAGGACAACATGCATTTATGTGTTCCATATTCATCAGGATTAGTAGGAAAGGCACCCTGGGCAGGTATTAGTCACTGTGGCTTTAATGGGAAAATACTGATAATTTACCTCCATATTTTGCATGTCTAGAGCTTTACAGATATTCTCTTGTCTGAATTCATCGGTTCATCACATATTTTTGAACAGCACTTAAGTTATTTCCCCTTTGGTTCCAGGTTTTTTGCGCAGCGTGCTGTAGCCTGAAGTGCAAGTTGCTGTATATGGATCGAAAGGAAGCTAGAGTGTGTGTAATCTGCCATTCAGTACTAATGAATGGTAAGTGGAAAAAGAACTTGAGATGTAGAGCTTCACTGGCTTTGTGTTTAGCTGCAGCAATGCTATTTTAAAATATAAAAATCAGAATACTTTTATTTGTATGGGTAAGTATTCTAAAACAGCAAAGGCCTTTGAAAGGTCAGTGTGGAATCCCTGTGGAGAGTGGGGATCCCTAAAATAAATATGATTAACAAAGGGTGAAAACTGGTAAAGTTTGAAAGCTTTCATTTGTGAGTGCTATACTAGGATTGTAGGAACTGTGATTTTTGGTGGGTTTTTTTGTTTTTAATTCAGGAGCCTACTCTCTGTCCTTTGGTGCCTCAATAGATAAACCTGTTAGACTTTTGTATGGGATGCCAAAGAGGAGAGTAATGCAGCTGTGCCTCTTCTCGATTATGCAGTGTAGGAAATCGGGAAAATAATATTTATCCCGCAATTAATCCAACTCTTCTTCCTCCTTAACTCCAAAACTGTGGAGAGCTGAGTTTGGCTTAGTGCTTGAGGTACATAACTGGAGAGTCTGTCAAACCCAGGATGGTGCTGTGGCCAAAAGCCTGATGTGAACATGGGACATGTGAGAAGAGGTCACAAGTAGTTACGAAGTTAACAAGTAAAACAAACAAGAAGTTGCATTACCTCTGCTTGGTGTAAGGAAAGACTGGTTTTGACCAAAGGGCCATGGAATCTATTTTGTATTTTGTCCTTTGTAGTATTAACACTTTGGATATGTGGTATAAATATGGGCAAACACAGAGTATTCTTCCCACTGTATCTTGAGGCCTCTGAAAATTCCAAGAACTTCCTGCTCTGAGAGTTGCCTTTGGGTGATTGTGCTGTCCAGTTGACTTTAAGTCCATGACGCTGAGACAGCTGTTGCTGTAAGACCCAGCGTTCAGTTTTTGTGTCTTGAATTGAGAAGGTAGAAACATTGGATGAGGTTGAGAGAGAATCCATGTGAGTGCTTAAATCATAAGAAAGCCTGTCTCATCATGAGAGATTCCAGGCACTCTGTCTTTGGTTTATTAATGGAAAGGTGAACAGGTGACTTGATCTTGGGGTATAACTATATATCTGGATAACAGAAACTTGATGACAGAAGTTACTTCAATTGTAGAGGATAGTCTGACAGGTAGGTGCACTCCTAAATGTAGTAGGTAGAAAGAGAAGTCAGACAAATTCAGGTTTTAAATGCAAACTCTTAATCATTAGAATAACTAAATATTCTGATAATTATTGAACGGTTAGTATGGAACCTCCACTGCTGCAAATGTTTCATTAAACTTTGGAGACCTTGCTTAAAGATTGTTGCTGTAGTTTTAACCAAGTAACCAAGAATTAGTTAGGAAAATTTTGTTTTATGTTTAGCATTCAAGCAAGGTAATTTTGATGGTATCTTTACTGTAGAGTAGATTATCTGGGCTACTGTTTCCAGAAAGCTCTGTTAATTTGTTGAACATCTAACTAAAGCTTAGTTTAGAAGCTCATAGCTTTATTTTTTCTCCAAAGAAGTTAAGTATTATGCAGGTTCGTTGAAAGTAACTGAGTCCTTAGTCTTGAGATGAGCATCCAAAATTAGTAGCCAGTTTCTGTTATTAAATAGGAATAATTTTCTTCTATTTCAGAAAGATTAATCAGCGTGCAGTGGTAGGTTTTAATTATTAATAATTCTTTACTGTAGGCCAAATGTGTAAGGTGACAGGAAATTGTAGGTTGTAATATCTAGAAATTAAAACCGAGTCCCGATGATGACGTTGAAGGGGTACTAAAACCTTAAATTCTGAGATGGAGAAATTAACACATTTCAAGGTATACAAGAACAAGGCATTACACATACACCTGGCAAAAGACAGCTGACTCCTTTTGGTGGTGAGTAGGATTTGTTTTCATCGGGGGGAAGAATCTGAAAATACTTCAGTTGAAACTAGAAGTGTTCTGGTAAAAAGGCATAATAAAATTGATCATATTATAATGACTTCCTTTTAAAAGCCTTTCTGTCCTGTTGCCAGAATACACATTAATGACAGTGAACAGTGACACCACTGCTTGGTTTATTGTCGGGACAGTGCTGCCTTAGGTGTACTTGTCCTGGGCTACCTCTGTATTCCTATCCCTGCTGCAGTGTTTTGTGACAATGCTTCTGGTTAGTTAACCTGTAGCCTGATCATATCTGATCTCTCCTGATCCTTGCAGTTTCTTTGTCTGTACAGGTTTTGGGTTTTTTTCCACTCAGTGCAGCAGGTTAAGCATTAATCTGTGCATAGTCTTGGAACCAGGATAGGAATTGCGCTTTAGAAGTGGTTAGTTCATTTGGTTGCTCAGTATCTGGTTTGTGTTTCACTGGGGTGTGGGGAGAGGGCTGTATGTTTTCTGGCACTTTCCCATGTCCAGGCTATGTGTTTAATAAGTTTCCAATGCTATTTTTACTGTATTTTCAATTGGTAGATATGCTGAGCTGGCACTTTGCTTGATTTAGAGAAGGCTTGAAAAATGTTCTTTTCCCATGATGAAATGACTTTTCTAATAAAGGGATCCTAGAAATGTAACTTTTCTTTGTGCATTTTTAACACTTTCTTCTTTCAGGACCTATACTCTAAATGAATACAGATTTGCTGTTAAAAAAAATGCTTGATCTTCTCAAATGGAAATGTCAATACCTTTTCCATTGGGAGGCTTTTCACACTATTGGTTTTGCACGTTGATGAGAGGAAGCAGGAGGGGTTTATGTTCTACTGTGTTCTGTTTGGGTGGGGTTTTTGTCTTATTTTCACCTTGGTTTTCTGACAAGTCATAGCCAAAGGAACCCAAAGATGTACATGATTTATTGAGGCTTTATAGCTGCTCTGAGAGCTTAGGTGACATGGTATTTATGCCTCACTAGAGGAATGCATTTATTTGTAACATACTAATGTGGTTGAAGATGCAAGCACACATACAAATTTTCTGGTACCTTGCATAGTTACAAGCCTTCCTTACAGATGAAAAAAAAAAAAAAGTAGTACTGTGGAGATACAGTCTGTTTCACTAGCTAGAGGAGAAATTTCCCTGTGATGGGTGTTGTTGACAAAAGTTTGATGCGTTTTTGTTTGGGCAGTTGAATTAAGGCTAAAGTCATGCCTTCATAATTAATAGCATAAAGGATTTTTGTATAGTTAAGAATACAAATTGTTGATCTGCACTGATCTGCCCTGGATATAAAGTAATGCAAGGTGCTTTTTCTCATATACAAAAGATAAATCCACTCAAGTGTCCTGTAGGCTATAAAACATTCGTAATAGGAATGTCCATCTGTCCATACAGTGTGATAAATATATGTATATGTAAGAATTGAGTGTTTGCAGTTAATCTTTGAAGAGGAAGCAAAATGAAGCATGGGGAACTAAGCGTCATTCAGGTCAAGTGTATTTTTATAATTTTCAGAAAGTATTTCTGTATGAACTGATATATTTATTGCACAGGGCCAGTGCTGTTTCTCCTCCTGCTATGGATTTTCTTGCTTTACAGTCTCCTGTATTTGTTAATGTTTTAATATATGTGTTACATATTAACACATGTAAGTGGGCATAGAATCTGACACAGCTCTACCCTGTTACTGCTTGTACTGTTTCAAATGTATTTTAAAACCCAGTTTTGAATCGTGCAGGAGAAGGTGAAAATAGCCCTATATTGAGAGAAAGAGAGATTGGGCTAGTTATAACATGTTTTCCTTTAAGTATCCAAACAGCAGGGCCATCCTGTGTTCTGTATGCCAAACTGTCTGCAGTAGGGATGCGTTAGTACTTATTTTGTAGAAAAAGGAAGAGAGATGGTCTTTGGCAGGGTCCATACCTACTGCAGGTGAGAACTTATCTAACAGTCCAAAACACTGTGTTACTTTCTTCTGTGTTCATGTTTCTTGTTCTTTGTTTGCTTTAGCTCAAGCCTGGGAGAACATGATGAGTGCCTCAAGCCAGAGTCCTAACCCTAACAATCCCGCTGAATACTGTTCTACTATCCCTCCTTTGCAGCAGGCTCAGGCCTCGGGCGCCCTGAGCTCTCCGCCTCCCACTGTCATGGTACCTGTGGGAGTTTTAAAGCATCCTGGAGCAGAAGGTAAGGGTACTTCCTTTTTCTTTCAGTTTACCTGCAGTGAGAATTCAGCAAGAATATCTGCACTTCATCCATCCCAAATACTCTAGCTAATGCCAGTTGTGATATTCCTGCCCTCAGTAGGAACATCAGGTTTTTAAGGACAAGTGAGCTATTTTCAGCAGATGTGTTTATACCTGTTTCTGCCATAGGGAATGTACTAGATGATGTCTTAAGTCCCTTCCAGTCCACAAATCTCTCTTTATTAATTGTTTCCATTTTGCTCTGGTCAGTGTTGCTGTGAGATCTTAAATCTTATTTTTTATGTTCTCTCTAGTGGCTCAACCTAGAGAACAAAGGCGTGTTTGGTTTGCTGATGGGATATTACCCAATGGAGAAGTTGCTGATGCAGCAAAATTGACAGTGGCTGGGACAACTTCCACAGGAACCTTAGCAGTGTCGCATGATCCATCCAAGCCTGTGACCAACAACACTTTATCAGCAGAAGTAAGGAAGTGTTATGCTAGTCACTGCTCAAATTACCATGCTTGCTTTGTCATGAATAGTGTATTAGCTTCTATGGTGATTTTTGTAAGACTGATCGAGGAAATCAGTTGAGGCTTGTCTTAGTATGTTGTATAGCAAGTGTCCTTACTTATTTTAATGTTTGCAGTGCTGAAACAACCATGTAATTTGAATTAAAACGAACTATTATGCGGCAGAGCACTAAGCAATGTTTGAAGTCTGTGTGCTAGGTGGTTTCCAACTGTACAGCCTGTGTATGACGGATATTTGTGTAATGCATGTTTTAAAAAAGCTGAGTCATGGTGAGTGAAGAGTTTGAAACAATAAGATTGTCACAGCACAAAGCAGAAAAATACTTTGACGCTTCTTATAAAATGATGTATGCAGGAAAGTGCAGATATAATTTAACAATGTTAAGTCCACCATACCCTGTGTGATGGCGATGAGACTTTGCAAGAAGTTCAGCTGAGCATAGCTACATTTAGATTTTGTAAAGGAATGGATATGTGTGGTGCTAGAGAAAGGAGATGCAATCGCTGTCTAAGCAGGCTTTTTAGTAATAGTTCACATACAGGAGTCATCACATGATCATTTATTGTTAAAGAGACAAAATACTTGGTACTTCTGCTTCTCTGGCAGATACAGACTCCTTCACCTACATCTAGTAATCTAGTCAGCCAGCTCTTACATTTTTATCATTATTACTTTTTTAATGTTGTCCTTTCTTATTGTTTGCTTCTTGTAGACTGATAATGCTTCTGTATTCTCGGGAAATATAACTCAGGTTGGCAGTCCTGTTGGCAGTGCAATGAATCTAATTCCTGAAGATGGTCTTCCTCCCATTCTCATCTCCACTGGAGTAAAAGGAGGTGAGGGTATAACTTGGCAGCTACCTTTTATGCTTACCAGTTGCAATTAGCCTAATAGTTACTGTGTTTATTTTAAAAATAAGATGCTGGCAATATGCTGAACATTTGAAGAAATTCAAAGTAAGTACTCATGGCTAAATGTTGTGACACTCATTTGTACCATTGATCCTTGTTAGCACCCAGGAAGAACCCCATCTTGTGATGAAATTACTGTAAGAAGTAAAACACAAAGCAAAAAGAAAATTAACTTCAGTCCAGAAATATGTGCTAATTTCTTCACTAATCGGACTGTGGGGAATGTTTCACAGAGAGATACGTTTTAATTAGCCGTATGAATATTCATGATTCCCTTCTCTGAAATTCTCTCAGAACATCCGCTCTGTCAGAGGAATCCCCGAGCACTGCATTCAACAGCACTATTGCACATCTTGGCCCACAGTGATGCTTTTAATAATGGTGATGTCCCCTTCTAGAGTATCCAAATGGAGGAGGATTCCGAAAATTAAAAACTAATTTTTAAAAGATTAAAAAAATGTATATATTTGTTCATCTGACAGTTGCTTTCCACAGTCTGATTCATGACATCCTTTAATACATTCCTGAGATTAGTTTTTCATCTTTGTTTTTTTTGTTCCTTTTAAATATTTTACTCATACGGTGTATTTTTGATGTTAAGCTGGAAGTAACCTTTTATTGCAGGATACTGTCAAAACCAAAATGTGAGCAGCATTTAGTTTCAAAACAAATCTGTTCCATCCTGTGTTAGCTGTTTGTATGGGTGCCTGATCATTCAGTCTCCTCCACAAAAGAGGAATGAAACTACAGTATACTTTTTAGCTTTTATGTAGATAACCTCACATAAATCATGTTTTGTATGCTAAGTTGTTTCTTATACTGTCACATACTGGATTTTCTTTGCAGCATTTTACTTCTGATATTCTATTTAAAAAGATTCCAAAAACATTTTTTGCATCAGAAAGCGAAATTACCTTTCTTTGGTAAGCTGGAAAGGTAATACATTTTTAGTATTATTGGAAAGGTAATATATTTAGCTGTAAAGGTAATACGTTTATTTCAAAATACGTTTTCATCAGTTTAACTATTTTTTGTTAAAGCTTAAATGCAGAGTAGATTATAATCACATGAACAGTTTTCATTTGCTGCTCATGTGGGTCTAATCATAAAGGGACACTACAGACATCTTTGAAGTTTCATGTTGGGATCCATTTTACACTGTATTTAGACCTTCTGTGATTTATAAAACATGTTTTATATAGTGTTCCCCTCTTTGTTATCTTCCCAGTAGCTAATGCACAGAAAGTCTAAGTCATGTGACATAGGGATAGACCATGTGTTGGTGTTTAGTCCAGGACTAATGCCCTTGTGCTTTACATGATACAAATAACAATTGTTAACCTCTTTGTCATTTGGGATTTCAGTTGACACCGTGACCCATTTCTCAATTTGATTTCCATTTTCTCCTCCACTTGATACCAAAAAAAAGTTGATTTATGAAACAAGCTGCATGTTTCTAAAGGATGTACTGGGGTTATGCCCATAAATGCTATTAAAGTTTGAAAACAGCCTAGGAAACAATCAAGCAAACTGGCAATACTGAAATAAGGGGTTTTTTTAAAAGGTTAAAAAAGCAAAAAGCATCAGAATTGGGGTTATCTGATTATCATGTAGAGTATTGTATCAGTAAGTTAAGAACTACTTAACTATGTGTTTACTTGTTTCTTTCATAGACTATGCTGTAGAAGAGAGACCTTCTCAGATCTCTGTCATGCAGCAGCTGGAGGATGGTGGCCCTGACCCTCTAGTATTTGTTTTAAATGCTAATTTGCTGTCCATGGTAAAAATAGTAAATTGTAAGTTTTTATTATTAAATAAGGCTTGGCATATGAGAGGGGAAATGTTATATATATTCTTAGTAGGAACAGCAGCATTTTTTATTTGGTAGGATGGTCTCTGAAAATGTGATGGATTGAAAACTTTGTACTTAGCCATATTAAGTTAAATTACAAAAGGCTCTTTTTCAATGATTTAGACATCAATACAGATAATTTTGTGTAGAAAATATAAACTAGACTGATAGAGCCTCCAGTCTCAGGTTTGGAGATCAGTGTCTCCTGTCCAGCTTGGTAGGGCAAGGTATTTTATCACTTGTTCTTCCTTTGGTTGCTTAACTCATTTCTCTATCATCCCATTCTGGAAGGAGCAGATAGGATCCCCTACTAGTACACACATTCCATTCTCCTGTGCACCTCTTCTATCCTTTCTCTACTGTGCATGTACATGTGCTGAGGGAGCGCGGAGGCACACAGGTGGCTTCTCATGTTAGTGCCTTAGCTGATCTCTGCTGGATAAACAAACATTTGAGAAATTGAGGAGGACAGTTTTGCAGTAAAATGTTTTGGTTCTGTGAAAAGTTCATACAATAAATTATTAAGATGATGTTTATAGACCTTCTGGCATCTGGTTAGATAGCAGTACAATTTTTTACATGTATATAAAATGTCATTAGTATACACATATATATACATATTAGCTGAAAGATTTTATTTCAATAACTTAATAGTCTCAGCAAATGAACTGTGAAGTTTAGAGCATGTGTCATCACTAACATTCATGTGAAGCAGAACAACACAGTGATGTCTCATGAAAACATGTGACATCCAGCTGTCCATCTTGAGAGTGATACCACTGTAGCTGTCAGGATCGTGATATACACAGCCAACAGCTTGGTCTTTTCCCAGGTTCCTTCATTCCCATTTAAATCCTGTCCTTTAATTTGGATACAGAAACTGCTAGAAGTCTGCTCTGTGGTGTTAATCCTAAAATCTCACTGGGAGCTGTAATGCTCGGGCTTTTTCTTAGCTGTAAACTGGGAATTACTGAGCTGCTTTTGTTGTGGATGTGCTTGCTTGCAAAGTAACAGATTTAGAACATAATTTGTCTGTGTGACAGATACTGCCATGAAACAAGCTGTAAAACAGATTCTTGAAAGAGCTATCTTCCTGTAGTGAAATTTAGGCCTATTTTATGAAATTCTGATCTTCTGTTCTGATACATGTTTTCTTCTCTGCAGATGTGAACAGGAAGTGCTGGTGTTTCACTACGAAAGGCATGCATGCAGTGGGGCAGTCAGAGATAGTCATTCTCTTGCAGTGTTTGCCTGATGAGAAATGTTTGCCTAAGGATATCTTTAACCATTTTGTGCAACTTTACCGGGATGCCTTAGCAGGTGGGAATGCTCTATTGAAAATGGTTTGAATAGGTGATTGTACTGAGTCAAATACATTTTTGTCATTTAGCAAATGGCTATTTTTGTATAAAAGGATATAAGAAGAGAATAAGTATCAATGCTAATAGGGGGCTGAGTTGTTACTGGTTATTAGTATCCAGTGTTATATTCATCTCATCAAATAAAAGTATTTATGAGGTGCTGGTAACCTGGGGAGCTGCTCCAAATATCTTCCAGCCTGCCTCTGGTGCCAGCAGAACAAAGCAGTTTGGACTATAAAGGTCACGCATAGACTATTACGGTGTCGGAGCAGGAGGACTCTGCCTGTGACAACTTTGTGTTCAGCAGCCATTGCTGAATGTCTGCTCTGGCTGCTTCTGCAGGTGTTGGGATAGGAATTTGAATACGGCTACCATAGCTGAAATTAGCACTGTACTTCATCTAGCAGTAAGCGTAGTAGGATATTCAGCAGAGCTCATGGGTACGCTAATGATGTTGCTTCTAATAATTATTTTTTCAGCTTGAAGTCAGGGTAGCTTTTTTAAAGGTACAGAAAGAAAAAGTTAAGAATCCTTGTGGATAGTATGCTAAATATCCCCTAACTAGGTCATTGAGAAATTTGATTCCCACAGTGTGTGTGTCTATTGCCACATTATGGAGATACTATTTATATTACAAAGTAATACAAAAATATATATATGTGTGTGCCTGGAATGAATTGTAGGGCATTGCAGAAATTATCTCTGAATGTTTAATTTGAGTATCTCAATTGCAAGGTTGTATTATGTAAACCTTTACACATTTTACATTTTCTATGAAAATGGGCTTCCACTTCTAGCTGTTGTTGGACCTTAGAATTCAAAAATTATTGCATAAGGAATAACACAAGTATTTGGTTCCACTGATTAGAAAATAAAGCTAGTTTTCCAGACCTGAAATTGGATCACATTAAGCTTATATATTGAAAATAGATTTATGAGGGCTTCTGCATATCGTTTGCAATGCCTTTGGAGTGACTGAATGCAACATTTTAATAAAATAATGAAAAAGATCTTTGTTTCCTAAAATGTCTTGATACAACAAAGGTCAGCTTGTCCAGAAAGGTTGCCAGGTTCAGAATGTACTATTATCACATGTCACAGTGGATCTCAAGTACACTGGAAACAAATACCTTTCCAATCCTCACTTCATTTGCAATGCTTTATTTTCTAATTATGATGTTATTCAGGGGGAGATAGATATGAAAAATGTGTGTATATATATGTGTATGTTACAGATATAAATCCAGCTTGGTGTGTATATTGCAGTGAAGTTTGTATAATTACACTAAGAAATACATAATTTATAACTCCTACATAATGTATCTGGAATTCTTTTTGTAGTGCTCTAGTGGTAGTAATTTGATATCCTCCAGTTGCACTGGTGCAAAGAGCTGCTTACTACTGTACAATTCTTAATCAGAAACTAAATTTGACTGTTTAAGAATTCCATTGTGTAATGTTCTTTTGGTAAGATTTGCTCTGTCTTGTATTTCAGACATGTAATAGAAGTAGACAGACACATTGAGTTGCTATACAATACCAAACCACACGGAATTTTTTGTAGAACATAGCACCTTGGTGAATTCCCATAGCATTTTGTAATGCTCTCTCTCAATAACCATCCTTTTTTCTTTCCAAGTCATGCATGTTTGAGAGGGAGAAGTATATATTAGCATATGTGCAACTGTGTCCGTTTTAAACGTTATTCAGCCAGAGAGACAGGATATGATGCTGTAGGGGTTTCAGTTTGGTGGTTGTAATCCCTTGGAAGTGGTTAGCAGTTTGCATGCTGTTGTAGATGGAGCCACGCTTCCAGAGTTGTTCATTTCAGAGGTACTGCACATCTCCTGGCAATTAGATGATAGACATTTAGAGTAAATGAGAATTCCCATTAGAAGTTAAAGACAATTTAAAGCCCTGCCTCCCAGTTTCATTTTTCATTATATAATATATTGGCTTAAATTTATTTTGCCATCAAGAAACCAAAATAAATTCTGTGGAAGTTTGTTATTTATCTCCTTTAGTAAATGCTTTCTTAAAAACAATCATAAAGAAACACAGTAATTTTTATTGGAACAGATACAAGAATTACTTTTAGTCATGTTGATTTTGTTTTGGAGTGATTTTGGGTTTCTTGGTTTTGTGTTCAGCTGAAAAATACAGCATTCCCCTTTTGTTTACTTAATTAAAGCCCCTATCTACAGCAACTTGGCTTTTCATGAGTCACGTTTATTTACTAGCCCTTCTTGCTCATTTGAAGCCTAGAAGCACAAACTTGTATGTACTGGTGCCTCTTCCCAGATGTTTCTGCTTTCCTCAGAGGATAATTTGTTTCTTGAGGCTGAGTCCCCTGTGCTAGGTGCTGCTGTCAGCCTTTGCAGAGTATGGTTCTAGCATGTGCGAGGAGTTGCAGCGGAGCCCAGGCCTCAGACCTGCAGGCAGGAGTGTTTAGTCTGTATGCTTCAGCTCTTTGCAGTTTGTCCTTCAGATTCCTCTCCTGTTTCAGCATGGATAAGGTGTCAGTCTGGTGCAGCACCGCCTTGAACCTTCGTTAGTTTTGTTACGGGAAGTCCTCAACCTCAAGCTATGGTCTGGTGTTAGGGCTTTATAATCGTAAAACAGTGGAGGGATTTAGAAGGAAAAATGGCATTTTTCACTATAAGTTGTATGCATGTGAGTTATAATAAATTGTAAAGTTGTTAATTAAGGCAAGTATTAATTACTGTTCGGTTTCCATCACTTTATTTTTCCTCCGGCCCCTCTGCCATCAAGCTCCCTGCTGTGTTGCTTTACTTGTTTTGAAATTGAAAGCTAATGATTTCTGTTGTGGTTTTAGTAGTTGTACTGTTGTAATAGTAATCCCATGATTATCCTTGTCTGTTGGCTATAAGCTTGGCAGGAGGTCTGGTGAATGGAGAAATGAGAACTTCTGTCTGTCTGAATGGGTACTTTGAAGCAGTTGGATGTGTTAATATAGAGCTGCCAGATATGCCCTAGTGCATCAACTCTGTGGTGGAATACAATAAATGCTACTGTTACTTTTGTAGTGAAAATGCAAATCTGGCAACTACTTGAAATGGCCTTGTGATTGCCCTGGTTTTGGGGATACTCTGGGTGAGGGTGGATCTGTCCCACCCACAGTTCTGTGTATTTTTTACCCAGCCTGGTTTTAATTAAATGAGGTGGTAGCTAATATGGAGTAGATCTGTAAAGAAGCTCATGTAGATGTTCTGAAGAGTTAACTGAGTGAATAATACATGCCTGCAACTGTAAAGTGGAAAGATGGATACAAAATCAAACATCGTATAAGGTGTGAGAGTGATTGTTTGGAAGACTGCCATGGACTAGTCTGAGGAAGTTTTGGATGCTGGTAGCTGCTACTCACAGTGATAGTAAGTGAAGTATTACGTCCCTTGCCAATATGAAAAAGTTCTTTCCAAATTACTTGCTGATGTGTTTCAATAAAAAGATGCTGAGTATGGTCAGAACTTTGAATGTGGAATTTTGTAAGTTTTTCTCAACATTGGCATTGCTACAGATGTGCCATCAAGTTGCATTCACGGTCTTGAATTTTCTGTGTCTCTCTGTGGCTCTTGGTGGAGCGGTGACTGGGTTTGTATTGCTTTTCCAAAGAGTATGTGCTCATTTGCTCTTGAAGAAAATCCATCTGGCAAGTTTGTTCCCAGGTGAATATTGCTTTGCATCTCTTGCTACAGAAGCGGGATGCTTGGGTTTTCGGGATTCTGGTGTGGTGTTTGGTACTTGGCAGTTCTTGGTTCTTAGTGATGACAGTGGAATGAGGCCAGACAGATGCAGCTAACTTCCCCAAGCCACATATGTCTGCCTTCCCTGAGACTGGATACTAATTAATACCAGTTTTTTGATCCAAGATTAACCAAAAGATATGAAGCATATATTAGGAATTGTAACTTCACTGTTTCTGATGAAAGCACCTAACTGACTTCACCACGTACTGAGGACAATAAACAAATGCAGGAATCTTTTGTTCTTTACCATTTCTCGTATAAACTGCTTTGAGTCCAGAAGGAATTGCCAAACTGATACACAAAGTATATCGTTCATCAGAGGAAGATACCTAAGTGAAGAATTCAAACCAGCCTGGATCATGACTGAAGAGAAAGTCACATAAGTGCATAAAAGCATGGTTTTTTAAAGGGCTTTATAGAGCTGCTTAGGGTTTAAAGTCAAGGGTAACCCAGCATAATTGAGAAGAGAGTAAGTATTGACCTCCTGCAGAGCTGCTTTAGATGCATCATGCACACTTACGGCATTTCCTAAATAATGTCAATTGTCTGATGTCAGGTGCTGGAACTTAGTACAAGGAAAGGCACCTCTCTGTTCATTCTGAGATTACCTCTTTAGAAAGGAAGTTGTGATATTTTGTAAATTAAATTCCATGCTTTTGAGAAGGATAGGTTTTTGGAAGGTTTTTCCGACAGCTATGCTTTCTCTACAAGCTTTTAAAACACAGTTCTATGCTTAAAATGTGTTAACAGTGCAGTGGGTTGAATTTGACCGTGTCAAGTTGGTAACAGCAACTTATCAGTAGGGTCTTGACTTAGAAAGATGCGACAGGAAAGGCTGACAGTCCTGGTCAGTGCAGAAATGTTTGTGGGGCAAGCCCAAAGAGGCTTTTTGATTCGGGTTTGCTGGTTGAGAAGGGCACTAGAGAGGTGGCTAGGAAGACACTTGCTTGATTCTTCCCATGCTCTCCACATAGCAGGCTCTTGCATGCTCTTACAATTAACGAATTGTAGCACAGCTACCTAATCCCAACAGTTTGTCCTCTTAATAGGGGTAACCTAGTGGAGCTTGCACTGTGCGAGCTTCTTGTGTCAAAAGGAGTAATTTATAACGCTGTGGCTCCTGGTAGCAAAGTGCTAAACAGCTGAGTTGCAGATTCCACTCTGAGGATTTTTTTTCGTGTTTCTGTTGGCTGAAAAAATTCCGGTTAAGGCATCCCAAGTGTGTGAGCCTTGAAGCTCCATCTCCTGAAACGGAAAAAATAAGTAGTCGTCCCCTTCTGCTGCAGCACTTGGCATCAGTCACAAGTGGATTGCTTTGTCATCCCAGTGGGCAGTACCACACGTCTCAGAACTGTACGGTGTTGTACAGCTTCACTTTGCCTATCCTCTTTCACACAGAAAATACTTCAGAAAAGGGTGCAGAATTCGATTCAGTTTAGCAGTTCATGAGCTTCATACATTTTAAGGTTAGAAAGAATTATTATGGTCATGTTGGAACCAAGAAGCTCACCAAGTAATTTTAATATCAGGCCTGTAGTTTCTATTTGGGTAAGAACAGATGGGAAGGGAAAAAGGAAGTATAAATGAAGAAGAGGAGATTAGTGAGGGTAGGTGGGAACTGCAAAAGCAAATGAGTGGAGTTGAGATAGAAGGGTTCCAGCAGCTATTTTAGATAAGAGAAAATCATCATCTTAAACACCAATTGCTACATTGGTTTGAGCTCACTAGCAAGATGCCCGAGTTTGTGCATTAGCCGTGTCTTCACTGAGCAGGCAGTAGTGTCACAGCACAGGCTGACAGAGAAATGCTTTTGCACGTGGGCGGGATCAATGATTTTGAGCAGTTGACAACATTTGATGTGGCTCTATTAATCATATTAGTCCTTCAGTTTGACGAGTAGCTAGTTTTCATCAAGTATGCTCAGCTGGGCATTACAGAAATTGTAGCCACTATAAGGGTTCTGGAATTTGATCTGGGTTGATGGTGTCAGTTCTGGCTTATGTGTGTCTGTAAAATTACAAATCAGCTTGGCAGGATAGTGGCAAGCTGCGAATGAGCTGCACCCTGCCATGGGGCGCCTGGGCTGCCAAAGCCTGTCACCTTTTAACAGAGAACTTGAGAACTTAAGTTTGTGCAGCACCTTGTGGGTACAGGAAAAAAAAAAAAAAATTCCACTAAGGTGCCCACAAATTTGAATAGCAAGGAAACTCCTGAACTTAGTTGGAGTATAAAAGGACCCTTTTGTTTACAGACCCGCCAGTAACCATATTTAAAACTGGAGGTCCCAAGGTCATGTGAAGGAAGCAATACTTGGGGGTGATTGTGCCACAGTGATCTGGAGGGATGTAATGTAGCATGGGCATGTCTCCAGAGTGAGGGCAGGAATAGCTGTAGTATTCTCATGCTCGCACTGGCTTCCTGGAGAGTGGCTATGACTTGGGACTTTCATAGGGGTTCAGTGTAAAAGACAGACTTGAAAGGACTTGTTGGTTAACCTTTCCTTTGCTGGCCAAAACTGTACCTACTGTATTTATTTTCTTGCATCTGTAAATGCTCGTGTATGAGTTTTAGGCTCTTTTGCAGTATAAAAATAGAAAAGGCTTTACTTGAAGATCATACTTGTGTGGCTGAGAATATCAAAGTTGCACTTCCATGACTCATGTTTTTACTTACTTAAACCCTAATGTTTGTGTGTCTGTATGTGTCTCGTGTGTGTAAAAGGGAGAAACCCTCCAGTTACTGTCCAGTTGATGTGCATGTCTCCAACATGCACATCGCTGCCTTGAGTTCAAATAAAAACACTCCATTATGAGGTGGTGGAGAAGAGCAGAAGCTCCTACTTAGCAGTCTCTCTGCAGGTGGGAAGGCCTGGGATTACTGCGGCAGCCCAGGAGGTCTGCATGAGTATCTCAAACCCATGCAATTCCTCATGAGTGGCATGATCAACCACACCATGGTCTCTGAAATTACTTGTGTTTTTCTTTGAGAGCAAATCAGCACTATTAATATTCACATCTTCCTATGGAGAATTGTGGTCCGCTGTTCTGTACATTATTTGCATGCTGTTGTCATTTGATAAAAGGAATCACACCATGGTTCTTTACTTCAGTGTTAAATGCTGCATTAGATGCTATAATAATCTAATCAACATTCAGATGCATTCAGCCATTCCAATGTAAACATTTTTGGAAATGAAGAGCATCAAAGAGTAAAAATGTGAGTAAAAATTAGTGATACTTCTCCCCTGTGTGTCTCGGAGTTGCGTTTTACATTAAGTATACTAATTAAATAAACACTCTTTTGTGTAATTCTTAAAATGACCGAGATCTTCAATATGTGTCTGAGCAGGCACCCCGGTGGTTTGCCTAAATGAAAGGACAACCAGTTGCCCTTAATTGTTTGACCAGGTGCATCTCTCTCCTTTAATCACAATTGGATCTAAAAGTTCTGTCAACAGCAGCTTCTGCAGTGGAAACCTTTCAAGTATCTGGAAGACACTAAAACCAGGCTTTCTTTGGGTGCTTTTGTAGTACTAGGGGGAGGTTGCAGGTAGCAGCAGCACTGGCCGGAGCTACCCTTTCTCTTCCTTGGCTATCCCCAGGATGCATCATCCCTTCCATTACACTGCCTCTACTACTTCAAACAGGCAGATGTCCATGAAAAAGGCAGACCACAGAAATGATTGAGGCTAACCTCCCTCCCTGCTCCCCACAAGAGTTGGCACATCTGTGGTTGCACTTGCTGTCCTGGTAACCCTTGCAGGCATGGCTCAGGCAGGCAGGCAAATGGAAGTCAGGCAGAAATGAAGATGTGTGTGTGTGTTTCTACAGAACTGACTTCCTACCAGGGATAGTCACTGATTACATGTATCACCAAAGGTGGATCAAACTGGAGATACCCATGGCTTTGATGGCTCTGGTCTACAGCAGTTACTCCTTAACAGATTACACACTTGTGCACAGGTGGTAACCTGAGCCCCCGTGTGCAACAAATCATTGTTTCTTTTGTGATTAATAGACATTAGCACTTCAGGAAACAAAGTGAGTTTAATACGATTTTTTTTTTTCCCTTCTGAAAAACTCTTTAAATTCTTCATAAAGCTTTCAATCTACTGAAGTAACGAGCATTTTTCTTCATAGGTAACGTTGTTGGCAAACTGGGACACTCCTTTTTCAGCCAGAGCTTCCTTGGAAGCAAAGAACATGGAGGGTTCTTGTATGTTGCGGCTACATATCAGTCCCTGCAAGACCTGGTGCTCCCAACCCCACCGTACTTGTTTGGTATCCTCATTCAAAAATGGGAGACTCCCTGGGCTAAAGTGTTCCCCATTCGGCTGATGTTGAGACTTGGAGCTGAATACAGACGTAAGTAACATTCATTCTTTTAGCTGCAGTTATTTCTGCAGGAGAATATATTCTGATCTAGAGCACACACACACACAGCCCTAAATTGTTACCTGTCAAAGCCACACAAGCTTAAATAGGCAAGTAAAAATTATGTTTTATACCCACATTGCATCCAGCTAACAGCACAGCAGTACTGAGGTTGTGATACGATCTACAGCCTTTTTACAACTGTACTAGTTATCAGGGAGATTTTTGTGGAGACAAATCAGTTCTGAGCAGCTGTTTGTAGTTCACTTAGTGACCCAAAATAGTTACGTGCGGAACAAGCCTGATTTAGCTGGTGTAGTTAGGACAAGGGAGAGCCTTTGAGATGTGAAGCTCTTTTCCATGCTGAAATGAAAGAGCATTTGCTTTTAGTTTTTTAAAACCATACTTATTTTTCCAGAGAATAACAATATGTGTGCAGGGGCAACTGATGTGCCAATTTGTCACAAAAATTCTGTGGCAACTAGTAACAAATAAGCTGGAGAGAGTGTTTCAGCTGAACAAAATCTTAGCAGTTAGCATGCAATTAGCATAAAGTTAGGATAAAATATTTTGAAAAAGACACTTGCCATTGCTGAAGCAAAGAGATTATTATTGGAAGTCTGTCCATGATGATGGGCCAAAAATCTGCTGTCTTGCTCATCTGCTATTCTAATTGGCAAATTGGTAAATCTGAATTACTATTAAAATGGTCTGGTGTTATGTTTTTTAAAACTTTTAACAAAGTAAATTCTGGAATGTGCTTTATAGGAATTTGTAAATTTAACTGATTTTCCTTAAATGTTTAGGGAACACTGGGAATTTTTCATAAAATACCTGCATTACTGGAGAGGAAAAAGAAAATCTTCAAAATTTGCTTGCTGAGGATGAGGACTAATGTTAAACTTGTCCAGAGAAACATTAGTGTTAAAGATGTGTATGTTTTTGTGTGTGTCCATGAGTTTTTTTAAGTAGTGTATTTATTCCCATCAATATTTAGAAAAACAAAGATGCTTGTATTTTGGATGTGACATCTGGTTTTGAGCACAGAAACGAATGTTTTGATATTCACAAACAGAAATACCTGCTGTGAGTCTGTTGGGAAGCTGGGGTTTGAATCATTTCTACAGCTGTGGTTTGGATTTAGGCATATTCACTTGTGCTGTGACAGTTGTGACTGCGGGTCACTTCCTCAGTCCCCTCTCGAAAGGGGCTGCGTTTGTGTCCCAGCTTTCCTTGGATACGTCCTCTTTTCTGGTAGAATTGTCAGATTTCAGCCATTTGTCCCATTCTGCTGGACGTGCAGCAGATCAGATGCAGGCATCACTCTGGGTTGCTGGATGTCCAGAAAATGTCCGCTGAGCATCTGCAGAGCAACCATACAGCTCAGGCTCGGGGAATTCAGTGCATCTGGGGCGTAGCTGAGCTGCTGTGTGCAGCCAGGGTGGCAGACATGGGAAAATTCAGCACTTCTCGGTGCCTGAGGACGCTGCGTGAGTTGGTCAGCTGTGTGGTGTGTGTGTGTGTGTGTGTGTGTGTGTGTAGGAGCTGTCATGCTTTCCAGATACTGCATCAGTGTGCAGAAGCTGGAGCTTATTTCTATCAGGAAATCCCGATGATGTTATTCAAACCTGCCAAGCATTTTGCAGCCCCTTCTGACTACATTGGGAACTTTGAAGATGTGTGGCATTTTGGGAAATCAGGCTGAGTGTTTGCCAGAAGATAGTTTAGGAACCTTCCTTCAAACATGCATTTAGAAAACCTTGGCATTACATATTACTGCATGAGTCATGTTTCAAGCACTGCTATGGCTTCTGCTGCAACATAATGTAATGCAGCCAGATCCATACACTACACTTTCAATTGCATCATAGATGTTTTACAAGTACAGCTAAGTCAGCCAAGGAATGCAGATACTTTGCATTGCTGACATACCATAAATGTCCTTTTAATTGTTTTTGACATGCTCCTGTAGAGAATTTGCCCTGTTCTTATGAAAACATGAAAAGAGAAAATGAAATAATCTGTGTTTTCCCTTGAATGTCACCCACAGAAGCTAAAGGTTTATGATGCTATAGTGGTGAGCAGCAGTGTGGTCATAAAAAAGGAAGAAGCCATTTCCAAGAAGTAGCCTGAGAAAAGCATTTAGAAAGGTCATCTTTGCAGTCAGAGTCTGGATTGCTAGGTTCAGTCTTGCACTGTGGCACTTGTAAATTCCACGTTAATTCCTCTTACTGTTTCTAGCATGGTGGGCAAGGAGCCATGACGCATGTAAGATGCATTATGATGTTAAAACCTTCTTCCCTTTTGCTTTTTAAACTCTTGTCTTCTTTCCAGTCTCTCTTTTTGCTGCTGCTTACCATATTCAACTGAGCAGATTGTATTTGAGTCTGGTTTTGCGGAACCTCAGTATGTAAATTTCAGTCTGACCTTTTCTGTTTTATTTTGTCCTAGTTTATCCATGCCCACTTTTTAGTGTCAGATTCCGTAAGCCTTTGTTTGGAGAGACTGGACACACGATTATGAACCTTCTTGCAGTAAGTGCTGGGGCTGAGTTTGCATGTTCTGTCGGTGTGAATAGATCAATGTGGGGAGAACTGTACTCCTGTTGCACAGAGTAGTAGCTGGCAGACTTAGAAGATGACAAGAGGAAATAGTGAGCTTTTGAGTGAATTTACCTCCTGTTACTGATACTGGATGTTAGCTTTCAACCACACAGTGAATTGTAACAGGGTACCCAAACCAACACCCAAAACCTGGCCACTTGAGAATGTTTGGGTCTTGAACCAGGTGCATTAGATGCTCGGATTCCTTCCTCAGAAGTGCTGGGTCATCACAGTGTGCAGTCACAGCTCTCTGATTATACAGTCCTTCAACTGAAGCGAAGTTATTAGCTCTTCCTACTTTGGTAATATTTTCAATATAGAAATTTCTCTTCAATGCATGACTTAATCTCACTGCTAGAAAAACTAATAACTCTATCCAGTAATGTAACAGAACACAGAGAGCAGATTTTCTTACATACAGTGATGACATTCAAGGCTGGAGAATATTAATTTTAATCTAAGAAAATCGGTGAATTGACTAACAGTCATGATGATGTTTCTTCACTTGTGTATTTTATTTTGATTACATAGGTTACAAGCTGTGATGTCTCCATCCCTTCCTGCCTTTCAGTCACTGATTACAATTATTTTAATGGGCTAACTAGTAGTCACTAGGATAGTCATGAAACCTACAGTCTTAATGCTGATGATCATGTCTAACTTTTAAAAACTTGTTTTAATTACCAGGACTTCAGAAATTACCAGTACACACTGCCTGTGGTCCAAGGTTTAGTGGTTGATATGGAAGTCAGAAAAACCAGCATTAAAATTCCTAGCAACAGATACAATGAGGTAATGCTTATAAGAAATACATTTGTGTACAGTTTCTTTGTGGTTGAAGGATCTGGAATCTAAAGGAATTTTATTTTATTAACTACCAGTAGGGAAAACTGCCTCAAAAGCAAATGATAAATGCATGATGAACACATCTTTTGGAAGGGAGTGAGGGGGGCTCCACGAGAAGAATGCAATTAAATTCAGTATTAATTAAACTCTTAAGGTCTTTTTCTTCAGGTTTTATAACTGTTTACATAGAAAATGTAATACTGGCTTCATTTGAGCAAGTAAGTTGACAAAATTTACACCTGAGGTAAACTAGGAGGAAAAAGTGCATTAGTTCTTCTCGTCTGTGTTGGGTGTGCATACTCAAAACCTTTATTAGTATTTGTTGGATTTCTGTTTATGTAAAATTTCTCTCAACATTTAAATTTTATACTTGATTTCTGGCATGAGAAAGTCAGTGTCTTTAGGATTTAATGCTGTTGAGAAAGCTGGATGAGAATGTATTTGAAAATAATGAAAGAGCAGGGGAGAAGGCGATTGATTTCATGTTCTGTCTGAAGAGGAGGGGTAACTTGGTATTTTGAAACCAAGCAGCAGCTATGGTGAGAGCAAAGCTCCTGGGGAAGATGGTATTTGTAAAAGTTCTTGTAATATCAGAGCAGAATACAGCTTTATCTCAAGAGAGAATTTCCTTGCAAGAAGCATTTGATTAAAACAACAGCGAGAATAAAGAAATAAATTGAAAAAAAGGAAAAAGCGTTCTTATGTGAGGGTTGAAAAAGATGAAACTGATGAAGCAAGAAGAGAAAGGGTCTGTTAAAAGGTGTGTTAATTCTTAATGAAGTTGTAAGAAAATGGAAAAGGTCAGTGAAGTTTGCACGAATTGAATACGGATTGGCACATAAGATGCAGTTTAGTAAGTGTTAGCTGGGCCTGGTGTTGGCAGGTGTGTTGGCTTCGGCTTTGTGTCGGACACGGCACTAAGCTGGACTGTGAGGAAATTCCTGTCTTGTGCAGCTTAGCAAAATGTCTGCATCATGCTTGGGTTCTCTTTCCAGTGTGAGGCAAAAGTTCAACTTTTTAAATGAAGGAAGTGTTATGTATTTAACATTATTGTTTACAATCCAGTTGAAAGGTTGAATTACTAGACAATTTTTCCTCTGAGTTTGAATTAAACCACAAGACCTTTACTTTTTTCCCCATGTAAAGCAGTATTTAATTAGAAAAGAGCGTCACTCAAACTGTCTAGAAAGTGGAAAAACTAATTTTAAATCTCATGCACGGATTAAATGTGGAGAATTCACATGGCAATTAACAAATTAAACATTAACATGTAGTTTTGCTGTTAAATACATACTTTTATTTCAAAAATTATTTACATTTTCTACAACTTACAGTGATACTTAGTTGCTTGTTTAGTCCCTCAGCAAAGGTGACATTTTTTTTAATCAGTTGCCTTGTTACAAAGCACAGTTGCCATGTCTAGTTGTTTCTTGTTATGCTAAAGGCAACTACTGGGCTCCATAAAGATGGCTGTTGTTGAGCTAAAATCTTGTTTCTGGAGCATGGCATGATAAACTAGATAATGAAATACACTGCTGTCTGATGCAAAATCTTAATTAAGTTTCCTCCCCAAACATTACACCTGTGCACATTTGTCATTAGTGAGCATCAGCTAATGTTCCTGATGCTATAATTAAGGTTTTACGTTAGACTGAGAGAGACAAATGTGTTGTGTGTAGCGTGCATGCTTATCAGCTACAGGAAGCAGAGGATGGGAGTATGAGTGCTGTTAAGAGATGTCAAATAATTCAGCATTTTCCTTCTCATCAGGGTTTTCACTGGGGAGTGTGTGTGTAATTTAATTTGCCTTTTTTTCTTTCAAGCAAACATATAATTTTTGGTTTTGAAAGAAATTCCAGAGATAGATGACTCCTTCAGTTTTCTTTTGGATCAAAAATCTCATAGTCTGAGCTTCCATGAAGAGGGAGAGAGGAGAAAAGGAAAGAAAGTGATATAATTTACAAGAATGTTTTGTCAAGACATGTATCTAGGTGTATGTTAGATGATAAACAGCAAAACTGAAGTGCAGATATATCACAAATGTTTTTGGATGCATTTTGGAGGCCTCCTTCACAGAGAATTAAAATTATTTCTGGATGTCTGTGATTCAGATCTTTTAAAAAAGTCTTCAAATTTAGAACATTGATCCCAATTTCACCAGTTCATGCAGGTGAAGCACAGACACAATAAAACTTTGGTGTTGGGTCATGATAGAACCGGGATTAAATGCTGCAAGGTCTGAGTGCCAGTCTAGCACTGAACTATGGAGGCAGCATTCATGATTTATGTCATAAGCAACTGTAATTGGTAAACGTCAGATATTTCCTACCAATATTTTTCTAATGTTTTTTCCTGTGAGTTGATTTTTTTAAAACATCTGGAAATAATAGCTTTTCCAACCTGTATAGCTCAGCTATCCGTTACACCATTTCTCCTAATTACATAAAAGGTGGCACTTTAAAGCACCTAGACCTGATCTGAACCCTCTTTTCAAAAGCAGTTTATGGCTCTGAGTCCTAAAATCTGACATGAGAATATGATCACTGTTGAGAAGCTTGCTCTTTCCAATTAAACTGTTCCAAGAATCCCCTATTTATGGTGGTGCTTGACGAACGGTGAGAAGTGGTGAACCTTTTTGTTTGCAGATGATGAAAGCCATGAACAAATCCAACGAGCATGTTCTAGCAGGGGGAGCGTGCTTCAATGAGAAGGCAGACTCACATCTGGTGTGTGTTCAGAATGATGACGGGAATTACCAGACGCAGGCCATCAGCATCCACAATCAGCCACGGAAGGGTGAGAACGGGGGTTCCCGAGGAGGCCGTTCCCTCCCGGCGAGCCCTGTGACTTCTTTGCTGCTTGTGTTACCATTCCACCATGTGGCTTTGTGAATCGGTCAGGACTGAGTTTGTCTGCATTTTGCTGAGTTTCTGTTAGATATTCAGAGAAAATAATTCTGGCTGCTGGCACTACTGAATGGGCAGCTTTGTGAGTTAGACATGCCACACAAGGAATAGTAACACGTTGCTCTATCTGCCCTTTGCCCCCTTGGTGTTTTATTCCCCTTGCAGAATCCATGATCTCAGATGTCAGGGAGCAGCACGCTGTGCAGTTTGCCTCCTGTGTGCAGTCCACATCATGCTTCTTTAGGTCAATGTGCTGTTCAGAATTTGTCTGAGAGGTGTTTTAGCAACTTCATAGATCACACAGTCATAAAATAAAGCACATAACAGCTTGCTGCCTTGTAAATAGGGTAATACTGCTTGCACAACACTGCTCAGGCAGTGCTGCGGCGCTTCAGAGGTCGCAGTGCTGTAACCAGCTCAGGCAACAGCTCTGCATTAATAATGAGAGCAGTCTTTGGCTTTGTTGGAGACTGCAGGTGAGGTTGTGGTTGCCTGTGCTTGACCTATACTGTGTGAAAGGAGGAAGATTAGGTTTAGCATCAGAGAAAGGTAAATAGGAATAACCAACAACAGCAGCATTTTACTAACACATCTTCAAGAAACTCCTTGTGTTCACCTCGATGAGACCATCTAATTTCCAGGCTTTGTTTTTGTGAGAGCAGGCTGAAAGGCTGCAGCAGCTGTGTGCTGAGAACTTAAATGTTGAGGTTTTGGGGACAGTTTCGGGCAAAGACATTTATACTGTCTCCAAATGAGATCAAGCAAGAGAGAGGCCAACGTTTATGTTTTCCAAGTATCCCCAGTCACTCCAGTGAGTATACTGGCATGGGATGTCACTCAGGGCTGATGGTCTTACCTGGCTTCTGTTCATTTTACATATGAGACAAGAAGAGGGATGTCCAAGCAGGAATTTCATGATGCTTAGTGGTAATGTAAGAGAATTTTACTTTAAATCAAGTGGCTTTGAGCTGTGGCCTTGCCTGTGGGTTGGTGTTACAGTGTGATCCATAAACAGCTCGCTCACAGTCTATGCCAGCTGTGTGGGAACATTTAGAAGTTAATTATGTACTTGGTTACCCTAAATTAGTAGTCCTGAAACTTAGAGGTGTATGTGGGGAGAGGGAGAGTGATGAAATATAAGCATTCATTAAGGTTGACAAAAACTGGTGTCCAGTTTAGAAAATAACTGGGTGATTTGCCCTTCCATATGCAAGCCTGTGATGTGCATAAATGTCACCCTAATTCTAAGCAGCATTCGTCCTGATTTAGCTTAATTACCTCTCCGGGTGATAAAGCTGTGATACCTGATTCTTGTATATTCTTGTTTTGATGAAGCCTCCCTAAATCATTCCTCATTGTTGTTGCAGTGACTGGTGCCAGCTTCTTTGTGTTCAGTGGAGCTTTAAAATCCTCTTCAGGCTACCTTGCCAAATCCAGTATAGTAGAAGGTAAGAACTGAACTGATTGCTTCCCTCTTAACACGGCTCAGCTCTCTTGTTATCAGGGCTTTGCTGTTATGCCCTGGGCATTTGAATCATGCTGCTGCTTCAGCTTTATCCTACTTTTTAGCAAAAAACCACCACCCTCTTTGCTTTAATGAGGAGGAACTTGTCCAGATGCTGTAGAACAGGGACACAAGAAAATGAGGGTAAGGTATGAAATACCTGGCTTGTGAGCCTGGGCTCATTGTACTGATTTGGGTTGAGGAGTGAGGAAATTGTGAGCCTAAGAAACATGGAATGTGTAATCCACCGACCAGGAGAGGAAGCCCTGCTAAACTTACTCTGTTCCCAAATAGCTCTGCATTATGCAAGATTATGAATGTGCCTTGTTTTTGTACTTGTGTGTGGGCAGATGAGAACATGACAAGTCGAGATGGTTGAGCTGGTACCTCTTTGATTTGGTTTGTTCTTCTTTTGCCGTGTACACTGGATTGAAAGCCGTTACTGCCTGTTAGCTGAGCTACAGAACTTTGTAGTCTAACCTCACCACGGATGTGACAGTGCAGACAGTCGTGTTTTAAGTGTGCTCCTGCCAGTTTGTGAGCGAGGTATGCAGGAAAGCCGTGCGTGCAGTTAGCGCAGCTCCACTGAGGAGCAGGAACTCCTTCCACTCTGCTGGCTTGAGAGCTTGGAGCTGTATGAGAGTGCAGTCCGTGGGAGAGCGGTCAGACCCAGGGCTGACAGGCAGCCATCTCACTGTAAGTCAGTGTATGTAGGGCATCATAACATTTTCTGTGTCTAAATTGGTGGTTTAGTGTAAGGCAGAGGTACGTGTGGATTCAGGCAAGGAGTCTGTTGGGGAAGTGTACCATTGCTAAGTCATTTCGGCAGCAATTTAGCCTCTTCCATTTCAGATTTTTGGACAAGATGATCTTCAAGGTCCTTTTCCAACCTAGATGATTCTGTGAAATTCTGTCTTTTGCTGCTGTCAGGCAGGCACTGACTTCTCAAAAACTGTCAGCGCTGGAGTGCTGCTTCCAGTGCCAGCAGAGGTGATGGCTGAATGGAGGGGGGTCACACGGCATTTCCGAGGGTTGCCTAGAGCAGGTGTCATGTTTTGAGGCAAACTAATGTGGCTGTTGCTGTAGCTGACTTTACCTGGGCATTGGACTTGACATTATCCTTGTGTTTTTCCCTAGTCAGTGCTCCTCAGTGCTACGTCTTAGGAATCTGAGAGTTCAGGAACGGCGTTAGGAAGCATTGTTGCCCATGACACAAAATAGATGTTTAACCTTTCTGTTGCAAAAGAGGAAGGATGTTTGGGGTTTGTTTTTTTTTTTAATATAGGCTCTGTTCAGTGGGGCTTATCTTAGCTCATGAGGATTTCTTGATTCCCTAGATGGAGTAATGGTCCAGATAACTGCTGAGAACATGGACTCTTTGAGGCAGGCCTTGAGAGAGATGAAAGACTTCACCATCACTTGTGGCAAAGTAGATGCTGAAGATCCTCAGGAACACGTTCATATTCAGTGGGTAGAAGATGATAAAAATTTTAGTAAGGGGTAAGTAGAGGAGCAATCACTTGACATTGAATGGTGACAGTTTGTTAAAATTTTTAATTGATCTTGTAAGTTGCATGAGTCTTTATCAATAGGAATGAGAAGTCTGTGCCTCTATTTTGAGTGATAAGATGCAATTAAATGTAATGAACGTGGGATTGAGATACCAGAGCTTTGGGGCATCAATTTAGAAAGCTGTCAATGCTATGGATTTCTTGCCATTGCTAATATCCAGTTATTGGAAACCACTAATTTGTCTCCAACACTCAGTGCTGAACCCTGCATATTGTGGTCACTTTGCTCTCTTGGTGCTTGGTTTGCATTAAGTAGTGCTGGAAATAAAATTGCTGAACATGAAGAGTATATCTGGACTTTTGATAGTTAAGCCAAAAGATAGGTGTATATGGCAGCTTAAGTATTTATGGCAGTAAAGTGCTGTTATGATGGGTACAATGTTTAAGGACTCAGCATCTAGAAAGAAGGCTCACTCTGTAGTTTCAGGCTCTCTGGCTCAGTCTTAGGTTCTGTAATTAAATTCTGGGCTGTGTTTCAGGTATTGCTGGCCTACCCTGAGGTTACAAATGAATAAAAATGAAATCTGTATGAAACGCTTCATGGCTGCGTTAGCACCTTACGAGCTCTCAGCTCTGGTGTGAAGCTTTGCTGAACACCTTCAGGAAGGTCCTTCCTGCACCTGGTTTGTGCATATTGCCAGGGTGGGTGTTGGGGTAGGAGCTGCAGGGGATGGAAGGGAGGGTGCTGCCTCTCTGCCTGTCCCTCCTGCTCAGTCCCACAGGAGCCCATTCCAGAAAGGCTGCTCACTGTGCAGCTCCAGGCACAGCACCAGTGTCACAATTAGCAGTTGCATTCAAGATCACTGGTTTTGGCACTCTGAGAGAAGCCCTTGGGTTTCCCTCTGGGGCTAATTTTGGTCTGTGCCCTATTAAGCCGAGGTGGTAACTTGCTGTGTAGTCATAGTTCAAATTGCAGAACACTCATGAATTATGAAAAAACCTGCAGCGAGGCAGTTGGAGGATTCAGTTGTAGCAGAGGAGCTGCTCTTTGATCCCATGTAGTTCTGCTTTGCCATGGTCTCTGCTCAGCTCCTGTCTTCTGCTAAGTTGGAGCTTACCCTTTTCTCTCCGTTTCACAGTGTTGTAAGCCCTATTGATGGCAAATCAATGGAGTCTATAACAAGCGTGAAGATATTTCATGGCTCAGAGTACAAGGCAAACGGAAAGGTCATCCGGTGGACAGAGGTGAGTCAGTCAAATTGAGCTGCACATAAACCAGCACTTGGCATGTTGGGACTGCAGCTACAGCCTATTCTTCTTTCTACCTGCTCTCTCTACTCACTAAAATTAAAGCAGCAAATTCTCCAGAACCAACCTGTACTGTCGTTCCTACCCGCAAGGAAAGATTCAGTACAGCATCGTGCAGAATCCAATGTCCTGTCACTGATGGGCAGCTCAGGCTGCGCCAGCCCCCCACCTTCTCATATACGGGTGTTGAACGTGGGGGGGGGAACCAGAAAAATACTTGTTTACTGTGTTACCCACGGCTTCATCTGCATTTGTGTTAAAATCTACCTTTTTAAATGGAGACAAATCTTAATAGTTATTTTTAAAAGATGGTATTTTGAGCCACCTTCTCTAAAATGTTGCAAGTTAAATAGGAAGTGCTGTGGCATAAATCACTTGCAGAAACTGCTTGCATAGCTGATGCTACCTGGGGCTCTGCCAGCACACAAATGCGAATGTTGAAAGATTTCTTCACGTGTTTCACCTAACCTGCCCGGGAGGAACCAAGTTACTCACGCTGCAGCTTGCCACCTCAGTAACCTTTCTTCCCAGGTCAGCTGGGCTCAACAGAGATGAGTTCAGTAACAGCAGTAGTACAAAGCTTCAGGTGGGGGATGGCTCCGACTATAAATGTGAATTTTCTGAAAGTAACATCTGTTTAAAAACAGGTTTTAATTAAAAACTATGTGTACGCCATAGTGAATTTCCATGATGAGGCTTTTGACCAAAACTGAAAGGTTTTTGGGAGCAGGACTATTTAATAAAATCTTTCTTTTGAAGGTTTTTAAAATTTTCTTTCCCCCCCCCCGAAGGTGGCTTGTCTTCAGGGTCTTTTGCTGGTCTTCCCTGACCAGCTCTTCATTTGTAAAATGTTTAAACAGCATCTCAGTAACCTTATTTTCTAGAAAAGCCAAATATCATATCTTAACTTTTAGGTGTTTTTTCTGGAAAATGATGAGCAACATAATGGTCTGAGTGACCCAGCCGATCACAGCAGATTGACTGAAAACGTGGCAAAGGCTTTCTGTTTAGCTCTCTGTCCTCATCTTAAACTGTTGAAAGAAGATGGAATGACTAAGCTAGGTCTGCGTGTTACACTTGACTCAGATCAAGTAAGTCTTAAATAATTTGTTTCGGTTTAACCTGGGGGTTGTTCCTTTGTTCGTTCGTTCCCCAAAACGGGAATGCCCCACTTCATCCATTCTCTTGGTTGATGAAGTACCAGTATCAGATGTTCTCTAGCAGTGCTGACTGTTGTTTGGTGCTTTGGGCCATCTGTTAGAGCTGGAAGGCTGGTGCTGAGCCTCAGCCACTGCTGGGCTCACCCCCACCCCGTGCCACCAGCAGCACCTGCCCTGTAGTCAGAGCTAAGAGCTGCAGCCCTGCCACGTGCGCCAGGGAGACCCTAAACTGGCCTCTTCACCCACAGTTAAAGCCAGGAGCCCATTAAACATATCCTTGGGCCAGCATAAAACTGTTCACAAGCATGGCTGTTCTTAAAAGCTCACACTGCACGTGAGGAGAGAAACAGATGGAAGGTCCCCTCGAGGGTGCTCTACAGCAGAAGCTCCCAGCAGAGAAGGGGCTGGAGGCAGGACAGCTGGCCTTGCCTCGGAGCGGGTGTGTTGGCAGGATCAACCAGCTTGTACATACTGCATGACTTAATCTGATAATGCAGGGTGCGGTTCCTGCTGCCTGGAAAGATCTGCTTCGACAAAGCAGTAATAAAAAAAAAAAAAAAAAAAAAAAGGGCTACTTTTGTCTAGGTGGCCACTGGAAACAGAGAACAAAAACAAGTGGGAAAAGCTGCCTGAGTGCCTGTTGTGTCCTGTTCAAGTGCCCAACTTCCCCGGGCCAGAGGCCATGGCACCTCACACAGCTCGTCCTCCTGCACAGCACCTCCCCTACCGCCCGCTGAGCCACAGCTGTGTGTCCTGTTCGCTGTAAAACCCACTCTTACTTTGTATTTTTTAGGTTGGTTATCAAGCTGGGAGTAATGGACAGCCCCTGCCCTCTCAATACATGAATGACCTGGACAGTGCCTTAGTTCCAGTGATTCATGGGGGGGCCTGTCAGTTGAGTGAGGGGCCAGTCATAATGGAGCTCATCTTTTATATTCTGGAAAACATCTCATAAGAGGACTTCATTTTCTGTTCAGACCTGTTCCAGCAGCAGTTGTATCTGAATCATTTGCACTTTAAAACTGGAAAATTAAGCTTTTGTTAACACTATTGGGGGAGGGAGGAGGGGAGGGGAGGGAGGGACAGTTGTTCCATAATTCTAAATCTTCTATGCATTGTCAACAACCAGAGGATCAGGGCAGCTTCTATACTACAACATGGCTATGCTATCCTTGCAGCTAATACACTTCTGTTACTGTTTAGAAAAATGCTCATGTTTAAAGACTTACAGTCATGTACTCTAAATGCTCAAACGGGTGCAAAGATCACTGGGGCATAAATAAAAAGTGAAACTCCACTCTTGTACTGTTTGTAGATGGACATTGTAAGAAACAACAATCAAGACCTCCATTCTGACCTCATCATAATGCCGTTTGTGGTTATTCTGTAGACATTAAAAAGTAACGTTTACATTATTTTGACCAGATAATTGGTTGAAATACGTTTGGAGTAGCCCTTGAGAGATACGGGAAGATTACCTAGCCATAACTACTCCATGTGTATATGCGTCCAGGGGAGCAGAAGGGCAGGCATCTCTCTGAAAGCGGTATTATGTAGACTCCAGTTTTGTGTGTGTAATAGGCTAGTTTACTTTTCTCCTCTATCTACTATAAAAAAACCCGTCACCTCGGCAGATTTCTATAATCTTCTAGAACAACTCTGCTAGTCTGCACTTTGTTTACAAATCTGTATGAAGCAGAGGAACTGTTAGCCCTAAAGTGCAGTTATATCTCATTCCTCTTCCCCAGTAGGTCCTGCTTTAAAGAAAAGTAACACCCAGGGCAGCTTTAAGTCTCCTCCTCGCTGTATGCTGTAGTGTAACACTAGTGTCATGTAATACCAGACAGCTCGCACTTCATATTAGCAGCACCATGTCAAAGCTTACCTGTGATAAAAGTATCGAGTGGCTGTTTTTGCATGTTCTGCTGAAAAAAAGGCTTTCTGGTCAGCTCCAAACGCTGCACTTAGCCCAGTGCTCCTGGTCTCACCTGAGAGGGTGTTAGTAAGGAAAGCAGCTGCTCATGTCTGCCACGGCAGCGTGATGCTGGTGCTGAGAATCAGCCCAAGGAAAGGCGCTTCCACCTTGTTAGAGTCTCCCTGGAAAGCTGCTACCCAGCTGCAGGCAGGGGGTTAGGAGGTTTAGCTGTAGCCAGGGACAGCAGCTCCTGGGAGGTGGTGGAAGGGGGAGTGTGGGGGGTGTGAAGGTTTCTCCTCCCTGGAAACTTGAGATTATTGAAAAATACAGAAAATTTATTTGGAAAAAGAGAGGGGCTGCTGGATGGTGAACATGGTATCTCAGCCTATGCTCCCTCCCTGCAGTCAGGTCTGGTGGACACAGTGGGGATTATTTTGGTTTTGCTGTAGGTGAGGAACAGGCGTCCTTTCAAATCTAAAGGAAAGTGCAAGGCTGCTGTGAGACCGATGCCATATTTCTTAAACAAATACACAGCATTAGCTGGGCAAAGGAAAAGGTACTGTACACGTAGCAATGTATTTTATGTAAAGACAGCACAGTTTCTGTACAGAGTGCATTTGTGAATAAATGGCTACTGCTTTCTGGGAAAAAAAAAAAAAAAAAAAAAAGCAAAGTCTGACAAATCCAATATTGCCAATTTCCAGCTGTCACCACCCAACCCTTGGAGAAGGCAGGGCAGAGAACTGGGGTCCAGCTCCAGAAATAAAAGCTGGCCCACAGGAGGCAGTTCACTACTGCACTTACCTCTGGCCTGGGGGAAGAGGTGGCTGGCTGAATGCGGCTTTACTTCATGGTTCACGCTGGACAAACCTTAAGCTGTTACACACTCACTGGCCCTCCTACATCTTTGTGCAGCGGAGCAGGACTAAGGTTACTTTCAGACCCCCTCTGCAGGCTGTTTTTGCACCCCTTGGGACACAGCACAGCACTACCCGGTGGTAGGCACGATGCAGTAGCTGGAAGAGTGTCCCATAAACCAAGTAATAATCTTCCTTCTAGAGCCTGCACTCCAGCTTTGCCACAGCAGCGGCTTTCCAGTTACTTTAGTTGCATTGTTATGCTTAATGATGCAGTAAAAGAGGTGAAAAATCTTTATCTTCTCTTTCTTTGCCCCAAAAGTCTTTTAGGTTTGGATTATGTTTGTGCAAAACACTATCAACTGGTGACTGACATGTTTGCTTCAACCATAGCCTTTTAAATGACCTTAATTACCATGTTGTTAAGAAATGAGTACTTGTTTTAGAAAAAAAAAAAAATGTACTTTTAAAATTCAGTTAGTTAACACTGCAAAAAACTGCATATTATATTTTTATTTTCAACATGTAGTTTTGTATATTAAATTTATTGAAATTAAAAACTAAACACTGTATTGTCTTCATCTGCTCAGGAAGACAGAGGCAGCACTGCCTTACTTGTCTGGACTCTCCTGTCTACACCCTTGCCCTCCCCAAGCAGCTGGTGCAGGAGCCTCCGACTCCCCCTTGCCGGCACATCCTCTCCTTTGAGATCAGTCATTTCCGTTAGCTCACAGAGATTTAAAAACACAAACATATTTGGTACCATTTTTCGTATGCTGCTGATCAAAAGCATTCCTGAAAATAGTCATCATCCCGTTTTCTACATGACAAAGAGTGGCTGTTTTCCCCATCACCTGGAAGAACTGTAAAAGCCTATTTTTGTAAAAATACAAGGAACATTTGGGAAGTAGCAGACTCTAGCATACTTTTTTTTTTTCCTCCTTTTTTTAAATTTAAGGAAAAAAAGGAAAAAAAAAAAAAGATGAAGGCACAGTACCCGGGCTGCACTGAACAAGCAGTGCAGCAAGCATGGCAGACAGCTGGTAGCCAGAACATAAAAGCAGATCTGTAAATGCCTGCTGCTAAGTCTTGTGTTCTTTTCTTCCAAAAGGCAACATCCCACTAAACTTTGTTGCAGTGGCCTGCCTAGTAAAAAAAAAAAAAAAAAAGCCCACCCCAAACAGGCCTTGATAAGAGCGAACAGAAAAAGCAGTAGCAGACTGTTCACTGTACCACGCTGGCTGCTCACACACTTGAAGAAATGAATTCTAGTAAAGGTCTTACCTGTGACTTGACTGAAAAGTTTTTGCAGTGCCTCAGGGAATTTTTAAGGGGCTAAACTTTTCACACAGCGCTATGCATAGTTAATGTAACATTCATCCTGGTGCTACATTAGTAGTCCCACATTAAGGCAATTCTGTCTATTTTGTGTAGACTAGTAACAATCCCCTGCAGCAGCAAGTTTCCAGAGCCTTACATCTGCCTTAGAGTTATTAATAAGCACTATGGCTGTTATCAAAATAGACATTAGGTTCAGTAGTGCATTCATTTAACATCTTTGGTGCTTGCAGCTAGCAGCAGCTTTCTACATACGTTCATCCCACATCTTTCAGCATTCCAATGGAGCTGGGGAAAAACAAACAACAACAAAATTACTTGATGCAGCACTTAGCACATGTTCACAATTCAAGGTCACATTATATGTAAAATACTGACTTGAATTTTCTGGATGGTCAACTAGAAAAAAAATCAATGGAGCAAAATTATTAAGCTCTAGTGATTGAAAACACTCAGGTGTCCAGTCACGGCCCAAGGCCAGGTTGTCACTTCAGATATATCGAATGCGTCCCTCAGAGCCCAGCTGCAGAGGTCACGGGCAGCGTACTGACCTCCTGGGCTGCGAGGAAGAACTCCCCGTTAGACAAACAGTCCCTTTCCTGTTACAAATTCAGACCCTGTACCGAAACAAGCCCTCTCAAGCTGTAAAATCTAACACAATTTGGAAGCAAAGGTGTGGCAAACAGGTGATGTCACTGTGAAGCCGACGAGCATCAGCTTAACTGCCACTTATAAATTGTGCTAAGGAAGAGGGAGCACAGAAACCTGGGGAGCTCAAGCAAAGGAAGAGGGATTACTGGTTAAAAACTTTGTACTTATATATCATCTATTTTCCACGAGGAAAGGTGAGGTTTGTTCTGTGCGAGGTCCTGGGCCAAGAGGAGGCTCTACATGCCACCCCAGGATCAACACAGGGACAGCCCGGCCAGCAGTGCCCTGTGGCTGGAAGGGACGGTCCCTGGCGAGTCGGTCTCTGCTCCGAGGTTTTATGAGCAGAAGCTGTGGGAGAAGCAAGGACCTAAGTTCCAGGGTATCAGTGATTGTGTCCAGCTAACGGGAATTTCTTTCAAACATCAGACACACACATAAAAGGCTGAACTGGGGATTCCACAGGCAGAGGGACTTCTGGTACTTGTCTTTCAGTAACTTTAGGTAGAAAAACACTTTAAAAGAAGACACCAGAATTTTTGGTATTTATTTGCTTTTGGGTTGTTTTTTTTTTTAAGAAGGGAGAATTTGTGATACCTAAAAAAGCAGAATATGAGAAAGGAAGACAAGCTCCAAACCCAAGCAGTCTCCATGGAGGCTGGCAGGGAGAGGAAGCTTTCCTCTTTTTCCTCTTTCTGCCACACAGCCCCTCTGGGGAGGAGCACAGTGGGCAGGAGGCACAGTCCTTCAGGGAGCCTGTATTCAACTGTACCCTTCCGCCCTGCCCAGAAGTCTCAGGTATCCAGGAGAAAGCCTACTGCCAACAGTTTCCCTTTCAGATGAAGTCAAGCAGGGACAAACAAATGCCCTTCTCTAGCTTCTGGTAGGGGAAGAAGGGTCCTTGCTAACAACAAGGATGCACATAAAGCACCCCACCTCCCAGAAAGGACTCATCCATCTTATTTTCTTAATATTACTCTAAATAAAGGTACAAGCTCTCCCTGTATTTCAAGTGATCATGAAACAGCATCTTTGATATATTATCAGAGCTCCTGTAACCTCATTTCTGAAATTATGTCAACTCCCCACTACAAATATAAAGATGAATGGGATCAAAGCCAGAGCTGTGTAATTAGGTCAAAGTCAACAAAAGACATTATTCAAGCAGAGTTTATCTGTAGCCCTGTCAAGTTCTGGCCAGACCATCTTTAGACGCAGTATTCATACCTCAGATAGAACTAATGTTCCAGGACCAGCCAATTTTCTGTAATTGTTTGAAGATCTTGACCACTGAGAGGCTCCCTGAGTCTCACTTTTACCTCCAGTTTCCCTCCAGTGGGCTTTCTACCATCAAAAATCTGGAAGAACCACAAAAAGAAGAGCAGTTAGTGCACATAGGAATGATAATGTCAAACTATAGTGCCTCAGGCACCCAGTGACTTCATTTCCCCAGGACTAAAGGATGACAGAGATCACCCTGCAGTGATCTCTTCTGGATCTGATGGCAGCTCTCCACGCACTCTGTCAGCCTTTGCTTAACCCTTTCTTCTGTCAGCTACCAACACAAGTATCTTTGGGAATCACCTGAATTTCTAGTCCTGACAAAGAAAACTCAGAAAATTTAGAGAAGAGAATCCCCAAGAGGTTCCCAGTACCAGAATGGTCACAGCTAAGACAAGCTTCAAGAGATGATAAAATAAAGAACAGCCCACTGTTTATCAAATTCATCCAGTACAAAACTATCACCTGTACACACACACATTTATGCAAAGCAAATACTCCTTTTCCCTCTGTGTTCAAATACTGCTTACGAGAAGAACATGCCTCACCCAGAAAACATACCTCGATGATCTCTCTAACTTCACATTCTGATTCCAGCTTTTCCAGTTTCAAGTGTGCAGTCCCCACCTGCTTGTCACTTCTGAAAAAAGACCTGTTGCAAAGAAATCTTCCTTAACTGAACGGGCAAGGTTTTTCAGAACATTAAAGAGAAAGCAAGCTACAATGTCATTGCTATTTGCACCATCACTATGCCCAGGAGGGTTAATCGAGGTGTGCTACTAGAACCCTACAAACCAGGGTGCAGGGGAGAAACCCTTAGGGAACAGGACTACAAGGACAAGAAACAGAAGTACTCATTTTTCAGTTATTCTCTTGCAGCCAAATTAAAGATGAGAACAACAGTGAAGAAAAACAATCAACTAAACTAGCACTTGGAATAGCAGCAGCTTTTGTCCCTGCACAGGCGACAGGGAAGAACGGCCTCCCAGCCAGGACAGACAGTGATCCTCTGCAATAGGCTGTTTAACAAAGCAGGCTGAAAGACTTCCCAAGGAAGTTGCATCTCTCATCAAAACAAACATTTCGCAGGCACATGCTGTTTTTCACAAACTACTTGTAAGGAAAAAAAGTCACATGAATCATCCTGTTTCATTTTGATAAATCAAAACACTATTTCAACATGTAAGAGCATTTCATTTCAGCTATTGTTTTGATTCACCTTCATACCGGTAGTTTTAACAGTAAAAGAACTATCATTTTAGAATTTCTAGTCTGCTGAATTAAACACAGTACATTTTTATCCTGCGAGGAAAACAATCAACTCTTCTCTGCTACAGTCACTCCTGTCTTAACAGTGAGTGTTATCAGCAAGAGATCCATCTTTACCTCAGCAGAGACAGGTGGTGCAATCTTTATCCTGACAAACTCCTACAAAAGGCAACAGCTAAGACTAAAACACACTAATCCCACGGGAGCGATCAGCTCAAAGCACTGGATTTCTTTGCCTGCACCCAAGCATTTCCCTGAATCAGTCTC